TGTGTAAATTTTTTTTTTTTTTCAAATCCACCACCACCCTCATCCATCAATTTTTTTGTTGTTCTGTTTTTTCTTTGTATTTCGACAAACTTGGACACTTTTTTCAAATAGTATTATTATATAACAATAGTAATATCAATCAAAGAAACGGTATCATATACTATAGTAATAGTTAACTCCATATATAATAGTATTGTTTTTTATTTTTATTTCGTAAATTTAAAGATTATCATAAAATAAATCACCACCCAAATACACACAAATCAAATCTTATTTTAAAATTTTTTCAAAAAATAAAAAATTCAAAAAATAAAAAATTCAAAAAAATAAATAATTTTCTTTTTTTTTTTTTTTTTTTATTTTTTTTTCGACAACCAATCAAAAATCTTCTTATAAATAATTTATAACTGCAACTAGAGGTTAAAAAAAAAAACAAAAAAATAATAAAAACACAACAAAAAAAAAAAATATAATTTAAACAAAAAAAGAAAAATAAAAATCTTTATTTTTATTTTTTTTTAGAAATAAAAAAAAAGAAAAATAAATAAATAAAAAAAAGCAGTGATAATATTTTTTTCAACATTAGAGAAATAATAATCGTAGAATTATTATTTTAATTTTTTTGTTAAATTTTGTTATCTCTTGTAGATTTTTATTTATTTTATTTATTTTTTAAATTGTGTTAATGTTATTATAATGGGACCACTTGAACCAAATACACCAAAAATGAATAATAACAACAACAATAATAATAATAGTAATAACAATGAAAATACCAATACAAATATTAATAGTGTTTCAAATATAATTAATCATAGTTTTAATAATAACAATAGTAATAGTAATAATAACATCAATAATAACAACAATAACAATAGTAACAGTAATAATATTTTGGCTTATCAGAGTTTAGTTTCATTAAAGCAATTGAATAATCAAAAATTTTATAACAGTGGTAGTAGTGGTATAATAGAAGGAAAAGTAATTATTGTTATTTAATTTTTTTTTTATATTTTTTTTCCCATTTATTATTTTAAAATATTTATTCTTTCTTTTCTTTTTTTTATTATAGTTTTTTAATAATAATAATAATAATAATAATAATATTAATAATTATAATAGTAATAATTATAATAATAATAATAGTAATAATTCTGAAGAAACTAAAAATTCAATTAATTTACCATTCCCTTTAGCTACTCAAACTACTACTACCTATAACGGAAATGGAGGCTATCATAGCTCATATAGCAACTCATCAACTGTTTTAAATAATAATAATCAATTTTCTTTTAGCTCCTATAGTAATGGTAATAATAGCAGCAACAACAATAATAATAGTTCATATTCTCATAACAATCAATATTATCAACAAGAATACGCGCAAATAATTAAAAATGTTTATGGCGGTAATAACAACAATAACGGAGGAATCGCTCCATCACCATCACAATTACCAATTGGCAGTAATGTACATGATTATTCAACATCTTATAGCCACAGTGGTTCGATTAATCATTTAAATCCATTATATAGTCAAACATCACCAACCTCATCACCAATTTTATCACCTTCATCAACATCACAATTTTCCTTAAATATATCAACAAACCAAACAAACATGAGTACAAATACATCTTTTTTATCATCATCACCACCTTTAGTTCAAGATTTCGATAGAGAGATTAAAAGAAAGTCAAATTTAAAGTCTAGTCAATCAATGACTCATTTATCATCACTTGCATCTGCACCATACCACCAATCATATACTTTTCCACTTAGAGAGTCTTATAATAATGGCTGGTCAGTTCAAACAACTACTTTTTCAATGATGCCAAATAGTAATAACAATAATAGTAATCTTTTTAATTCAAGTATCAGTGAGTCAATTAAAAGAAGTAAAAGTGATAGTAATATACATGCTTATGATACCCTTATTTCACCAAGAAGTAGCGGTCCAAACTCTGGATCCAATACCCCAATCACATCTTCATCTCAACCTCCACCTTTTATTTCCATGAACTCGCCAATTTTAAAATCAATTTCACAAGAATTTAGTCAATCCAATACACAAAGTATATCATCATCAAATGTTTTTTTAAATAAATCAGTTTCATCAATTAATAATAATAATAGTCAACAATCATCACAAAAACCATTGGCTTCATCTTTACCATCTATAACCACTATTTCAGAAAAACCTGTTGAATGCGAACAATTTTCTGTACCATTGGAAATTTTTGAAGAGTGGATGGAAGCAGAGGGTTTTATTAATGGTGTAACATATATTAAAAGTGGTGGTAAGGTTATTGGTGCTCATGCTGATCGTAAAACTTTAGGTCTTAAAGCAGAATATGAAAAACCAAAAGCTACTCACAGAAGAACTAAAAGAGAACTTTTATGGACCCAAAAATATGTTTGCTCAAGAGCTGGCTCACCCAAACAAGTTCCAAAATCAAAAAAGAAAGCTGCTACTGCTACCAATAGCACTACTGAGGATACCACTCCAGCTAGTACTGATACTACCCCCACTGAAAACAATGAAGAACTTGAAATCGATTTAAATGAAGATTCAAAAAATAAGAAAAAGAAAATAATTTCAAAAAAATGTGGATGTCAATGTAAAATTGTTATTTCAGTATACGCTGATGATAAAACCTATGCCGTGGTTAGAAAAATTGCAGACCATTCGGTTCATATGACCCAACAAGAGATGGCATCAGCAAGATTAAAACAATTTGAACTACATAAACGTTTTCAATTAATTTATCCAAATCAACAATTAATTCAATCAAATATAAATATTAATAACAACAATAACAACAATAACAACAATAACAATAATAACAATAATAACAATAATAATAGTAATAGCAACACTAATAGTAATAACAATAACAATAGTAGCAACACCCAAACCATTTTACCACCATCAATTCAATTATTTAATCAACAAAACATTAGTAATAATAGTAGTAATATTAATTTATTAACTTCATTATTAACAAATAGCACACCACCTTCAATATTATCATCGTCAAACCCAAGTCCCATAGGTTTATCCAATTCCTCTTCTAGTTTATCAAATATAACTATCCAACCATTACAACTCTCATCCTCATTAAGCCAACTTACATCATCTTTAGCCTCCTTAACATCTTCATTAAACTCAAATATACCACAACTTAACAATAACAACAATAATCATAGTGATAAAAATGATGAAAAAATCCCATCACTACAATCAACTATAAACATGTTACCACCACAACAAATTCCAACAACATCATCACAATACCAAATTTATCAACAACAATTAAATCAATCAAATAACGGACTTGGTCTTTTTAATTTAAATACCGCTCAATTCTCTTCACCATCATCACCAATTGACGATGAGGTTTCACCTGCACAAAGTAACAATAGCTCACCTTCTAAATCCTTAACCTCTTCTTTCTCCTCCTCTTCATTATCAGCTTTAGCAAAAGGTTTACATATTAATAACAATTTTTCAGAATATTAAAAAATGAAAACAAATAATATTTATTAAAAAAGAAAAAAAAAAAAAAGAAAAAAAAATACAAACTTTATTTTATAGAATAATTTAATAACAACCAATCAAAACAGGTTATCATTAAACACCCAAACACGGTACATACACAACAAAACATACAAACAACACAAAAAATTAAATCGAAATTATAAAAATAAAATTCAATTGTTCAATTAGCTAAATGTAGCTAATATTTTATATCCTATTTTAATTATTATTTTTTTTTTGATCATTATTTTAATTAAATATTATAATAAACACACATAATTATTATTTTTTTCTTTTTTTTTTTTTTAATTTTTTTCAATTAGTTTTTTAAAAAATATTTTTTTGAATTTTATTTTTAAATTAATTTTTTTTACAATACCACCCATCTATCTTCATTTTAAATATATTAAATTATATGTTATAAATAAAATGGAGAAAAATAAAATAAACTATGTCCACAATAATAATCATAATCGTAAAGATATAAAAAAGAGATCTCCATCTTTTTGGAAAAACTCTATTTTAACACTAGCTCAAATTCCAATTAAAAATTTATCAATGAAGACATGTGCAATAAATAAACCAATATCAGAGATTAAAGTTTTAGGTATAGTTTATAAAACTGTTGGTTCAAAGACTAAAACTATTGGTAATTTATACAGAGGAATTTCATTATCTTTTTGTTTCAGTGCGGTAGACCTAGGAAGAGAGATGTTAGTAGAGTCAATTTTTGGTGGTGCATTAAAACTATTGGGTATAGATGAAAAAAAAGCAAGACATAATGAAGCCTATATAGAAGTAGCCAGAAAGTTTTTCGACATATCGACCAAAGCATCATTATTTATTCCATACAACTTTTTATTGGACTGCTATATCGTCTCACCAGCAGAATATTCATTTATAAGGGTTATATTTGGTGTTATCTTAAGAGAGCAACTTGGCATTAACTTTAATATCAAAGGACTTATTTACTTTATTTTCAAGCTTGCATTTAAAGTTTTGTTTGCTCCATTCACCCTATTCAGTGTAGTCAAATATCTTATTGGCAGTTTAAGCTCTGCAAGTACCGTAGCCAAAGAGTCTGTTGTGCAAATTTCAAGCAGTGACCAAATTAACAATTTATTTTATGCTGCATTACCAACACTCCTTTTATTTGTAGGCAAAAAGCTAATTAGAAACACTGTTCATCTATTAGAATTAAAATGTAATCAATTGCATCAAAACAACCCAAATAATCAATTTTATAAACACACTAGCCAATTATTTTCAAATTTCTATTTCAGGGGTATTGTAACAGGTATTCTAAATTGTCCATTGGAAGTTATAAGACTCCACTATGTTGGTACTTTCATTCAATCCTACATCGACACTGTTGACTACTTAAAAATAGACCCATCTGTAGATCGTACAAATCTATTAGCAAAATCCATCCCGATGGCACTCAATCCAATCTCTACAGCATCAATAATAATTAATAGTCAAGGTGTATCTCGTTTGTTCAATGGTTTATTTTCTTTTATAATCTCAAATATTTTTATTGAATATTATAAAAAAGATAAAGAATATGACTATTTTGATATCTTTAAAATATAAAATAAAAATAAAATAATTTAATATAACAAATAAAATTTTTTTTTTTTTTTTGGTCTAAAAATAATTTTATAAAAAAAAAAATTTTCAAACACTTTATTTTCCGATTATTGCCCCACAAATTACTAATATCTTTGTAATCATAATCACTACACTAACCGAAACAAAAAAAAAAAAATTTAAAAATTTAAAAATTTAAATCAGGTTAAAATACAGATGCTGAAAAGGTACCTTAATATTGTATTTTTTATTTTTTTTTAGGAATATTTTTATTATTACGTTATTATTATTAAGTTTTTGTTTTTATTATTTTTTACATTATTATAATTTTCTTTTTTTTTTTTTTTTTTATTATTTCTTTATTTTTTTTCATTGTAGAGTGGTTTGTGTGTAATTTTTTGAAGTGAGAAAGTTAGAAAAAAAAAATCACAAAATTTTGAAAGCCCCATTAATGGCCTTGCCCACATGCACATTTATTAATTTTTTATTTTTTTTTTTTTTTATTTTCCACAAAACCACATCCTTTTCTTTTTCATCCGCCCATAATGATATAATATTGTGTTTTAAAAAAATAAAAATATTGGTAATATTTTCTATCTTTTACCATTATTTAATTACCTTTTTTTATTTTGTATTATTTATTTATCTAAATAAAAAATAAATAAATTAAAGAAGAAAAAAAAAAAAAAAATAAAATAAAAAAATTATTACCTTTTTAAACTAAAATTATAGCCAATCATTGGAATATCTTTTAGCTTTTTAACATAACACAAAAAATAAAAAAAAAAAATAAAAAAAATTTACTCGCATATTCCAAACACAAAACAAATATACATTATAAGTTATATATTGTTTTTTTTTTTTTTATTATTTTTTTTTCTTTTTTATTATTTTTTTTTCTTTTTTATTTTTTTTTTTATTTAGTTTTATTTTTTGTTCATTTATTATAGAAAAAGAAGAAAATTTCTATTTTATAATTTAAAATAAAATAATTTTTTAAAAACACACCCTAAACATTTTTTTTTTTTTTTTTTTTTTTAATTTTTTTTTTTTTTTTAAATTATTTTAAAATTTTTTTTAAAATTTTTTTTTAAAAAAAATAAAAATAAAAAAAAATTTGTTATTATTAACAAATAAACATTTAAAACAGTATTGTATTTTGAAATTACTTAAAGCCCAAAATATTTGTGCGCATGCGTTTTGTTTGTTTATTTGTGTGTTTTTGTGTTGTCCTTTATTCATGCCCTTTATTCATTATTTCTATAACTTCGGCCTTTAAAAAGACACCCTAAAAAAAGGTGGGTTTTGGGGGGTGGGGAAAGGGTTTTTTTTTTTTTTTTTTTCCTTTTTTTTTTTTTTTATTAATTTTATTTTTCTTTCACACACACACAAACACTCATATCATACACCAAAAGCATCACTGCGATTTTTTCTTTTTAAAATAAAAAAAAAAACACACACACAAGACAATTAATTATTGTTTTGTATCTCAAATTGTATCTTTTGTTTCTATTTTTATTTTCTTTTTTTTTTTTTTTTTTTTTGTTATTATTTTATTTTATTTTGTTGTTTGTTTAACTGCCTTTATGTTTTTTTTATAATAATAAATATTCAATTCAAATATACACACATCCTTTTTTTTTATTTAATTTTAATATTTAATTTTAATTATATTATTTTTTTTATTTTTCAAAAACAAAAACAAAAACAAAAACAATATAACAATATAAATACACTTAACATTAATTATATTTTATTTCCTCACACTCATTCAAACTTATAGATATTATAATAAACAAATATTAATTTTTATTTTTTTAATAGAAAAGAAAGAAAGAAAGAAACCAGTTCCTTCTTATTGATCAGAATTGTATTAAATAAAAAAAAAAAAAATCAAATAACAATCAGTTTTTTTTGTATTTTATTTTTTTTGGTTTTTAAAATAATTTTAAAATAAAAAAAATAAAAACAAATAATACACTCTCATCACCACACCATATCACGAATAACAATACAATAGTCAAATTTAATTAAAATTAATTAAATATAAAATATATTTATTATATATAAAAATTATATATGTTTTCATCAAACCAAACAAAATCATTAACACTACAACAATAATCATATTTATTTATTTATTTATTTATTTAATATATACACAATAATAATAATATAAAATGGATACAACCACACAACAATCACCATCACAACCAAATAATAACAATACTCCAACAGGCCAAAAGTTTTCAGCCTCTGTATATATGAATTATGATTTTCTTGATCCACAAATGACAGATCCATTTTCAGACCCAAATCAGCAACAGCAACAATTGCAACAAATGCAGCAACAACAATTTCAATCGCATCAGTTTAACAATGACTATCATTCACAAGAAGTTTGTATCAAAAAAATAAAAAAAAAATCAAATAAAAAATTCTAACCTTTTTTTTTTTTTTTTAATTTTAAAAGATGACTTATAATCAGGGATTTGCATTTAATGTTCAAAATGCCCAACCCACTAATAATGGTTTCCAAGTTTTTAATAATAGTTTCGATAATAACAGCAATAACAATAGTTTTATGTATAGCTCAAATGGAGGGTCCCAATATATTCCAAATCCAACATTAGTTAACAATAGTAATGACAGTTTAAAAAATCAATTTACTAACACAAATATGAATAATATTAATATAAATAATAACAATAGTAATATGAATAATATGAATAATAATATGAATGGTAATATGAATAATAATATGAATAATAGTAATAACAATAACAGTAATATGAATATAAATAATAATAACAATAATAATATGAATCCATTTTCACCAAGCCAAATAATGTTTGATAATATGAATATGAATAGCAGTTTTAATGGATTTAATTCATCCAGTTTTATACCAATTTCAAACCAAAATAATATGTTATATAACCAACAACAAAATATTAATCCTTTCAGTCAATCATACGACTCTGCTATGAATAATAATAGATATAATAATATGTCTCCATTAATGGGAGGTTTAGGTGGTAATGGCTTTGTATCGAGTTCTCCTCAAACAATTCCAAATAGTAATAACAACAATAATAGTACACCATTGTCTCCAACATTAGGTTCTACCCCAGGCACTCCAACATCAATTTTATCAAATCACTTTTTCAATGGCATTAACATATCGTCATCACCAACTTCTACTTCATCATCATTAAATTCATCACCTGTTAAAAAGAGTAAAAATCCATTATCAAATAGTAATGGTGGTATTGCCAACTCCACATCCACCACATCAACTACCACATCCACAAGTAGAAAGAAACCTCAAAAGCATGAATCAATGACTAATATTACAGCAATTGCAAAGCAATCATTGAAAGAGGGTAAAAGATCAAATAGCTCTCCAAATTTAAAGAAACAAATGCAATTACAACAATTACAAGCCCGTCAATCATCAATTTTACCAGGTGAAGGTGGCAGTAATAGTTTAATTCCTTTACCATTTGGCACAGACAATTTGAGTGGAAACAGCAGTCCATTAAGTGGTAGTCTTGGCATTGAATTTAATACAATCAATCACAGTAGTGATAGTATTTCATCAAATGATTTCGGCGGAAATTTAGTTCACAGTAACAGCGGTAATCTTAGCTCACCCATTATTCCGGATTCACCAAGTAATAATTACTCTTCACCATCACCATCACCATCACCACCACCACAAACCACCACCACCACTACAAGTACTCCAACAACAAAGGGCAAAAAGGTAAAGAAGAGTTTACATGTTTCAACAACTCAACATTCGCCATCATTAACAGGTAGCACTGGTAGTATGTTAACACCAACTATGTCTGGATTATCACTAAGCGGGGGCAATTTCTCACCACTAGTATCTCCAGCTGCTGGCTCATCACCATCTCCATCACCACTCTTAAGATCAATGGGTGTAGGAGGAATGTCTAAATTGGATCTTCAAGAACCACTTGATTCATTACCATCACCTCTATCACCAACTTTAAACTCATCAAATGGTTTATTGCCATCCCAAAGTTTAAGCTCGTCATCATCATCATTACCTATTGTTTCGGCTCCAATGCAAGCTCCAAATGTTTTCAATAACTCAGATTTCTTAAAACAATTAAGAGAAAATATTTTACCACCACAATTGGCACAAGATGAAGCATCCATTGAAAAGAATATGTTAAACTTACAATCTATTGTCAACACTTTACCAGAAGGACTTAAAAAAGATCTCTTTTCCTCGATTTATGAATTATCGTTAGATGCCCAACTTCATTATGGTAGCAATTTAGATAATGATAATTTATCTGCATTAATGTTGTTCCGTAGAAAAATTGTTAACTTTAACTTATTCCGTATGATGATGCTCATCGATCCAAACTGTTTTATCCCAATACCAACAACATTAAATACTCAATGCGCTCCATTTCAAAATACTACAACAACTACAACAAACTCAAACAATACGTCCTTCAATGATTTAAATTCATCAAGTGGTTTTAGTAATAGTAGTGGCGAGTTCTTTTTTAATAATGGCGGTAATGTCGGTGCTACTCAACAATCATCTCAAAATGACAATGGTTTCATTAGTATGCCCCCACAATTCTCATTAGATGGTATTCCAGCATATAATATGAATAATGAAATGGAGTTATCTGAAAGAGATGAAGATTTAAATAATAATGTAAATAGTTGTAATAATAATAATAATAATAATAATAATAATAATAATAATAATAATAATAATAATATTAATAATAATAATAATAATATTAATAATAATAATAATAATAATCAAAGTAATAATAGTCAAAACTTATTAGATAATAATAGTAATATGAATAACAATTGTAATATAGATAACAATAATTGTATAAACGGTCAGCAATCATCAAATTTAAATAGCAGCGGAAAAAGAAGCAAAAAAATTTATAGAGGTGATTCATTTGGAAGTGATATCAGTACTGGTTTAATGGGTAGCTCTGATAAACTTCCATCCCATCTTATTCAACAACAACAACAGCAGCTCAATATTAGTTCAGATATACCGAATAGTAATCAAGTCCCTAATACCAATGGACAATTAATGTATCCACAAAACTTTTATTTCAATAATCCAAACAATAGCAATGGGTCAATGTATATAAATCCTTATGGTATTAGTACTACTACTTCGGTTCAAGGTGGTATTCCTGTTTCAAGTGCCATGCATCAAATGTTAATGCCCAACTCAATGGGCCTTAACGGCATGAATAGTATGAACTTGAATTTGAGCAACATGAATAACATCAATAAACCAACAGTTTCCAATCCACCAGAACAAATGTTAAACACCAATAATAGTAATAATGATATAGAAAATAACAATACAAATAATAATATAAATAACAATACAAACACAAATAATAATAATGGTGACTCATCATCATCATCAGCTGCATCATCACCATTAATTAATAATGGAAACAATAATGGATCACCACCACAAAACCAACCAACCCAGTCAACCAATTCACCATCATCATCACCAATTCATAGACATCCAGCAGTTACATCAATTTCGTTAGCCAACTTACATAACCAACAAATGTCACCAATTTCACCACGTTCTCCACGTTCTCCTCACGATATTAACGATGGTAGCCAATCTCCATCATCGCGTAGAAAGAATAGATTCAATGAACTTCAAGTAAAACGTTTAAATGATTTCTTTGAATCATTAGATAAAAATGGTAGTAAACATAGTAGTGATGATATTGCCCTATTAAGTGGTGAATTGGGATTAACTGAACAACAAGTTCGTGTATATTTTCAAAATAAACGTGCAAGATCACGTCCATCCCCAAGAGGTACTCCAAACCAAACCAGTCAAAGTACTTTGGCCCAACTACAACAACAACAAATTCAGCAACAGTTGCAACTTCAAGCTCAATTGAACTCTGCCAATACAACTCCGCAACTAAACTCAACAAATAATGTAAATACCAATTTTGGCGGTAGTCAAAATAACAATACAACCTCCAATCAAATGATTAATGAACAGGTTTGTGAATAAAATCAACAATTATAATAATCAACCTTTTTTTTAAAAATTAAATTATATAAAAAAAAAAAAATTAATAATAATAATAATAATATAATAAATTATTTAAATGCATATTTGTAAATAAGAAATAATAATGATATTTTAATTAAAACCATTTTTCTGTTAATTTTAGTGAAATTTTTTATAACTTTTTTTTTTTTTTTTTTTTTTTTTTTTTTTTTTTTTTTTTTTTTGGATTTATAATTTTAATTATATTTTTTTTCTTCATTATATAAAATTTTTAAACAGGATCGTTACACATTATATACGATAATGTAATTTCTAAAAAAGGATGGTAATATACACACACTTTATATATTAAAAAAATATAAATAAATTAAAATAATTTAATTATAAAAAATAATTAAAAAAAAATAAAATTAATTTTTTTTTTTTTTAATTTTTTTTTGAATTTAATTGTTTTTTTTTTTTTTTTTATATTTTTTTAATTTTTTCGTTTTTTTATATTTTATTTATATATTTGTTTGTTAATATTGTATATTTTATATATATATAATATTAATAATTTTGTTATTTGTTATTTTCTTTTTTTATTAATTAGAAATCTATGACAAATAAAACAAAATTGAATTTACAAGAATCAATTGCAGATATCATAAAATGTAGTATATGTTTAAATTCACCAAAAAATCCTAGATTTTGTCCACAATGTTCTTCATTATTTTGTTTGGAATGCATCGGATGTTGGATAAAGACAAATCCATCGTGTCCAGCCTGTAGATGCGAGTTAACAGCAGATAATTTAAATTCAAACCTTATTGTTTCAAATATTGTTAATGTAAGAATCTATATAACGTAAATATATGGTTAGATATCTTGTTATTAATATAGTATGCTTTTTTTTTTAAAAATACTTTAGGAATTAGTAAAATCGGAACAGGAGGAATATACAGCATCAGATTTATGTAGTTTTCATGGATATGAAAGATTATATTATTGTATTTACTGTCAAGAACCAATTTGTTCAGATTGTGCTTTATTTAAACATAAAGGCCATAGAATTGAAAAACTTTCTATAAATTTCAATAAGAATTTAGAGATTTTAAAGATCGAGGAAGAGGCACTAAAGTAAATATTATATTTTTAATAATAATAATAATAATATAAGGTTTTTTTTAAAATTAAAATTTTTTTATATTAACCCCTTTTTTTTATTTTTTCATTAACTATACAATAATAATTAAATAGAAAAAGACAAGAGGAGTTAATTGAATTAAATTCATTTTTGGAATCAGATGCAGAGACATTATATAAAAATAAATCACAGCTCGAAAAAGAAATATCAAAAGTAGTGTTAGCAATGAAATCAAGATTAAAACAAGATTTTGAAAGTCGATATTCAACCATATTGGGTAGGTTTTTACTTATTAATACAAAGACAATTATTATAATAATAGGAATAATAATATTAATTTTCATTTTTATATGTAATTCTAGAATCACAAGAAAAAATTAATAATGAGTTAACACACTTGGATTTTATTTATAATGATTTATTAAACCATTATAAAAAATCACCCAGTTCATTTGTAGAAACAAGTCCAGATTTCATTAATGTTTTGCAAAATGTACACAAGAATTCAATTTTAGATATTTACAAACCAATCAATACAGATTTACAATCAGAATTAGTTCCACCTTTTGAACATCGTTTTTTAAAATTTGAAAACTTTTTAAGTGGTGACTTATTTAGCAGTCGAGTAATGTTTTATGGTATGACTTGGGAAATCAAATGTGGTATAGATGACGATAATTGTTTTTTAAATTTAAAAGTATTGGAGTGCAATTCAGATGGCAAATATTTTTACATGTTTACAGTTATTAATCAAAAATCGAATGTTAACAAATTAATTGAATTTGATTTACCATTTCAAGCTGGTGAAACATTTTATATTCCAAATTTTTCATCAAAACAAAATTTGGTATGTATTTTTATAGAATCATCTGTATATTATTTATTATTATATATATTAACTTTTTCCTATTATATTTATAGATTGACGAAGGTTTTATTTTACCAGAGAACGATATTTTACTATTACAATTTTCATTTAGACCACAAAATTACTACTGCTTTAGTAATGATTTAAAACGTTATATAGATATTTTAGAGTATAGACACAGAGGTTATTTTAGCGATGAAAATGATAATGAAATAATTGAAACTACAATTACAAAGTTTGCAGACAGATCGGCTATACTCTCTGACGACGATTTTTTAAATACAAGCAGCAAGAAAATTAAAAATAAACATAAGGTTATTCAAGAAGACGATGAACAAGAGGAGGATGAAGATGATGAAGAAATTAGCACAGAAATAGAAGAGGGAGATGATGAAGAGGAACACAGTGTTAGTCCAGATGAAGATATAGTTATTCAATCAAAAAGACAACAAGGTTATACTATTAATAATCAATATCAAAATTATAGGGAGTCTCCATTATTTCAATCTTCAAACAATATCACTTCAGCTACAACCACAACTACCACCTCATCAGATATTTTAAATAATATGTCAAGTTTAAATTTAAATAATAACAATAATAATAGGTCAATGTATAATTTAAACCTCAGTAGAAGTTTTTCAACAAATAAAATTTTTAACGATGAATATAATGAAGAGGAAGATGCATTATCGTCAATAGGGTCATCATCTGATCAATCAAGCTCCAATTCAGACTCTGATTCAACTGATACAGATGATGAAAATTTTTCTTTTAATGATGCACCAAAATGGTATAAAAAGATCAGCAAAGTCGAAACGATAAGGAGGGATTTTAATAATTTATTAAAAAGGCTCAATTTCACAAGTTCTCAATTAACAAATTTAAAAACAACCGGAATTAGAGACCAGGATGATTCAAATGATAATCAAATTTTAAATTTAATAAATGATAGTAATAATAATAATAATAATAATAATAATAATAATAATAATAATAATAATAATAATAATAATAATAATAATAATAATAATAATATGGATAATAATAATAATAATAATAATATAAATGGTGAAACCAGTCATCAAAATAATGATAATGTTTTAGGTGGTTCAAATAATATTGATATCATTGAAAATAATGTTACCATTAATAATAATTGTAATTATAGTCAAGATAATAGTTTTATTAATAATAATAATAATAATAATAATAATAACAATAGTAATGTAAATAATAATAGTGATAAAGAAGCAGAAGAAGAGTTAAGTAAAAGTGAGATTGTAAAAATATTGGAGAATGGTATTCTTATAGATAGTAATGGAAATAAAAATAATAATAATAATAGTAATAATGACAATAGTGTAAATAATGGTAATGATAACAACAATAATATTAATGATACCAATAATGATATTAAAGAAGAAAGTATTTTAGATAAGCTTAAATTTTCAGGTCAACAGCAAAGTTTTTTAAATGTAGATTATTCGCAAAATCAATTCCTATATTCAAATGAAAATACAGAAAATGAAGATTTTAATCAAGAAACTGCAACCGAAACAGAGAATGACTTTTTAACAAGTGGTTCAAATATGGGTTTAAATGTTGAAAACGAAAGTGAATTCGATAGTAACAAGAGCTATGAAGGAAGCACACGAAATTCGCAAATGTTTACATCTGACGAGGAAGATTTCGAAAATACTTTTGAAAACAATTTTAACGATGATGATGAGGTTGGTAGTACTAGTAGCAGTGATGATTCAGACGATCAAGGTGATGACGAAGAAAGTGATAATTCCGACGAAGAAAGTAGTAGTGAAAATAACGACGAAGACTACAATGATGACAAATACAACAACAATAATGATATCGAAAGAGAACAAGAGTTTGATTCAAATAACGTTGAAGATTTTGAAGAAGAGGAGGTACATGGTGTAGTAGAAGATGGAAGTGCCAATCATAATAAAGAAAGTATCCAACAAAAGACAATTATAAACGAAGAAAACTTGGACTTGGAGGCAAATGGTGTCAGTAGTGGTATTAATAGTATAACAAGTGACAGTAATGGCAATAGTAGTGACATCAATAGTAGCAGTAGCAGTAGTAGTAACAGTGACAGTAGTAGCTATGGAGATCAAGACACCGATGGTGAGGATGAAGAGGAAATTGTTAACCAGGTTGCAAATTTTAATTTCAATTTTAATACAAATAATAACACTACTTTCAAGAATTTTTCATTTAGACCAAGATTTCCCAAAGAAGAACCAGTAGAAAAAAAAAGTAATGATGATGACAACGAAGACGATGATTGCGATGGTTATGATAGTGAACAAGAGGATGAAGCAATAAATTACGAAGATGAAAATATTTTAGAAGATTATGAAACTGGTGAAATAATAAATATAGATCCAAAGAATATCCAAAGAATATCTCCAATATTAAGAGCAATTTCGTCACCTTTAACTTCATCTACAGATAGTAGCGTTTCGCAAAGTAATAACAATAATAGCTTAACCAGTTCAAATTCAAGCAATAACTCGATTATACCACACACCTAAAGAAAACAATCACAATCTTTTGCAAAAATAGTTATCGTAAATAGCAATAGTAGTTATTGATAGCTATCATCTATAAATTTAAATTATTTTACCTTTTAAAAAAAATAATTTTTATATATTTATTTTTTAATAAAATTTTTTTTCAGATCTTTTAATAAAAAAAACTATTTATTTTTTTATAGTCATATTATAGCAAATTTTTTTTATATTTATTTAATTTATTCATATATATTTATTTTATTATTTTAACTGGTGAATAAACTTAAATATTTCTTTTTATAATTAATAATAAAAGAAAGCTTTAAATCATTTTTAACAGCAACTCTATCAAACTTTATATCAAGACTAACATTTTCTCTAAGAATGGATTTAACCTCTCCTATAAGATAATAAATAAAATAAATGTTAATATTATTTCATTGTTTTTATAATTAAAATAAATTTTAACTTACTTGAAATTGGACTTTGGATGGTTAGATTAAAGTCGATTGGGATTAAACATTTACTAATGATTTGAATTTGCCAAATCTCCATTGGGGTGACACCTGGTTTGCATGGAGTTGTAAAATATTCTGTTCTGAGTGGATAGAATCTAAGGATAATATGTTCAAATGGAATAATTTCGAAATAACCATTTTCGCCCATATTTCTAATTTTTTCATTATAATTTTGAATAATCCAATCTAATGCATGGTTAACATTGTCATCTTGTACACTACCTACAATTTGATTGCAAGCAATTTCTTGCTTTTTGTTTTGGATGTGTTCAGAATCTACGATTTGAATTTCATTTACTTTATTTTGTAAATAATTTAAATAGTCCTTATTAAATACATCGTAATGATAGGTATTTTCTTTTGAAAGATCAAAAAATTCAGATTCTTTAAATTCGCTTTGGTTGCACATTTGTAACTCTTTAATTTTCTTTCTTTCTTCTTTAATCTCTTGAATTATTTGTCTTTCTTGATTACCATTTCTATATAAGCAATTGTTAATATAATTATAACGACAATTATTTAAATGTTCATCTAATGAAGATAATCTAATATTTCCACAGTTTCCTTGTGGGCATTTAACATATCTTTTTTCGCAGCATTTTAAATGGGATTCTAACTCGTCGATTGTAATGGTTTCACAACATCCATCTGGACAATGAATCTAATAAATAAAAAAATTAATATTTTTTATTTTTTAATATTGTTAATTTTTATATTTACTTTTAAATTTCCAATTAAATTATTAACTAATCTATTTTTTGCAAGATTATCATAGAAAATAAAATTTCTGCACGATGGGCAAGTTGTTTGTGTTTTTAACCATTCTTTAATACAAGAGTCACAAAAAATATGACTTTCACTACATTGACGTGCATCTTTAATGAGATTTGAGCAGATAATACAAAAAAGTTCTTGGTGAACTGAGCTTTTATCAACTAATAAATCTTCATAAATAATTGATTTCATTTTTTTTTTTTAATAATAAACAACAACAACTGCAAAATATAAAATTAATAAATTACAATGAATATTTTTTTTTAAATTTTATATAGAAAAAAAAAAAGAAAACCCATTTTCTGGTAGTAAATAAATTAATAATTAAATTTAATTTTAAATAATTATTAAACAAAAAAAATATATCTTTTTTCTCTGTTTTTAAGTTTTTTTTTTTATTAAAAAGTTTTTTTAAAAATTTTTTTTTTTAATTTTTATAATTTTATGATTTGATTTTTTTACTGGTTTAAAACCAGCCTATTTTAAAACATTAAAAAATTCCAATTGTTACTTTATTATTTTTAATTAAACCAGAATAAAAAGAATAGTATTAAAACTTTTTTTTTTTTTTTTATATAAAAGATTTTTTTTTTTTTTATTAATTGTTTTTTATACTATGAGATGGGCATGAGCGCATGCATCTGGTAAATCAAAATAATCCATTGAAGGTTCCAATGGTGTGAAGTTTGTAAAAGTAACAAGGGAGTTACCAAATTGAGTTTTACCATTTTGGAAAATTGGGGAGCAATCATTTGGATCAACATAGAGTAAACCAGCTGCATCAAATTCATTTGGTGTTTCGAATGATAAAATTTGTGATTTGATTGAACCGACCATTGCAACACCAGCATCGGTATAGTTAGTAATAGGGGTAACGTTTGGTGTGAATCTGTAAATACAACCATTTGATCTATAATTGGTTAAAATATAATATGTATTCTAAAAATAAAATTAATATTTTTTTTTTAGAAATTTTTTTTTTTTAATCCTATACAAACATTTTGGGTGTATAACCATGACTCGAAGGAATAATCGGTATCAAATTGATAATTTACATACATATTGTTATTTACTCTATCTACAATTAAAGTACCAGATTGAAAAAAGTAGTCATCTCTTTCAACATAGTTATTAAATGGATTTGAGGTATTTTGACCAGAATATATAAAATTTACTTGAAATGCTTTTAAATTGTTGAGGGTATCTGCGCAACTTTGACCCTGAACTAAATTATTATACCATGTTATTATTAAAAGTAAACATATTAGAAATTTCATTGTTTCTAAAAAGAGAAAATAAATAATAATAATGAAAAAATTAATTAATTTATATTTTTTATTCAAAAAAAAAAACGGAAGATAAGAAACCCAAAATGAAATTTCTTTAGAAATTTTTTGAAGATTTTTTTTTTTAAGGCAAATATACAATTGAATCGTAGTTAAATAAAAAAATATTTAATACGATTTTTTTATTAATTTTTCTTTGGAAATATTGAACGAAAAAGATAATTATAAATTAATATTATTTTGAGATAATAAAAATTTTTTTGATTTTGGGGATGAAGATAATTCTATAAATTCATTATCGCTGCTATTTCCACTGTTTAATGATGAGTTATGATTAAAGCTTTTGGGTGTTCCTCGTGGAGAACTACCCGGAGTTGAACCTGTTGATCTACGGATATATTCTCTATCTCTTATTGGGGTCAAGTCAATACCATTTGATAAAGCCATAAATGGTGGAGTTAATCTGATATTTCCACCACTACCTCTAATGTCGTTGTTGCTAAAAATATTGTTTCCACTACCTCTTATATTATTATTGTTATTATTATTATTAATATTATTATTGTTATTACTTGAGGTCTGAGAGAATTGAGATGAGTTTGATGAGGTTGCAGAATTGTTTGATGAGGCTGAAGAAATATTTGATGATGAATAATTATAGTTGTTATTATTAGCATTATTATTGGCATTGTTATTATTACCACCACTATTGTTCATATTAAGATGACTTAAAATATTATTGCTACTACTACTACTACTTGGATTTCTGACCTTTAATAAACCACTCGATCCTCTAATATTGATTGGATTGTGTTGTTGTTCTCTTAGCTTATGAAGGTATTGATGATTTTGTGAGCCTCTATAAAAGAATAATTCAGCAGTTTGGAAATCATTTCTAGCAGATTGTAAAAAGTTACCATATTCTTGTAAACAAACGATATTGTTTGGGTTGGTTTTTAATGATGTTAAATAGTAATCTTCTGCACTATCGTAGCTACCACAACGCTCAAGTAATTGAGCGAAACGAAACAATGAATCGGTATGATTTGGATTGTAAAAGATGGCTCTTTCAAAATATTCAAAAGCTTTGTTTATATCTGGATTGTTTCTATCAGTAAATTGAATTTCAGAAACACCTTGATTTTCACCAACACCTAGATGACTGTATACTTCACCCATAGTACAAAGGGTATCTGCATTATTTGGGTCAGTTTCTAAAGCAGTTTCGAGCTTATCCAAAGCCATGTGGAAGAAACGGTTAGCAGCAATTGGATCAGATGCAAATAGCATCTCACCTTTGACTTTGAAAAGATAACCTTGAGCTACATTCATGAATGGGACATACTTAACACGAATACCAATTTCTTCTAAATCGTTGATATCTAAAGGATTTTCACCACGGAAGAGCCAACAATTTGGTTGTAATCTAAACTCTTCGTTGATACGATTTGTAAACTTCAAACCTGTCATTTTTTGAATTCTTTTAAATAAAAGATATTTACCATCAATCAAATGGTCAGAGAATGAAGATAAACCTAAAATTAAAGAATTTCCTTTGATTTCATCTTCGAATAAACCCTTGTCAAATTTCTTCATTAAGTATTTCTTCATACGTTCGTTCCAGAATAAATCCGATTTATCAGAGATACCCAGAATTCTATTGAGATATGCTACAATTAAACGTCTATAGGGAGCTTCTAAAGGAATTTTGGCTTGCTTCATTTTAAATCTGAGTTTTTGTCTGAGTTGCTGTTTGACTACACGTGCACACATTTCAATGAAAATTAATGACTTCATATCTAAACTATTACATAACTGACGCACACAACCTAAATATCTAACATTAACACCACTACGATGCAAACATTCTGTTATTGGGAAGGAATATATATTTTTAATATTTATGTTAAAACCATTTAACTCTTCTGCTAATTCTGGAATTGTAACATTTAATAAATAACTTGTTGCTTCGACTGTTTCATTATTGTGTTCCTCTTCATTATGGCCTCTAATAAATCTTGAAAATGAATCTGAACATAATGGTTTCTTATAATTTCTAACAAACTCTGGTCTTAATAATCTATATAAATGACCCATTTTAATACTAAAAAAAGAAATTAATTAATTTAGTATTTTAAAAAATTAAAATTTAAAAAATAAAAAAATAAAAAATAATTACTCTTTTCTTGGTGCTTCTGCTGCGAATAATCTTGCAAAGTCTAATAAATAATATCTACCATCAAAACCCCTATGACCCTCTAAATCGGCAGGTGAGTGTAAGAAGGTACCCTTATCACCAGAGTGGTGACTCTTTATATTTAACAAGTTTGCTACCTCTTTAACTTTTGAACTAAGGAAAGCGTCACTATTATGAATTGTTAAACCATAGTCATTTGAACCATAGCAAATTGAATCCTTTTCGACTGGTAAAATTGACATTGCAATTAATCTAAAACCTCTGTAGTCTACCAAGGCCATTAATGGTAAGCATAGATGACTTACATTGCAATTGAATACATTAATTAAACCTTTTAATTCATGATTACTGACACACATTGAAGCATAATCACTTCCATAAAAATCTTCTCTATCAATTGCGAATTTGAATAATATACCATGAACAATAAATTTATCACCACCCTGCAAGTTTTAGATTAAATAAAATTAATGTTTGTTACTTTAAAGAATATAAAAAATAAAAATTACTTACGGCTATACCCCCAATATCGATTGATGGAATTGTTTTTTCAGAATTTGGTAAATATCTTTCAGAAATAATAACTTTTCCAAAAGTTGATGATGCATAAACAAAATCTTGGGTTAAAGCAATAAATTGACTATTTACTTTAATTTTATCGCTTTGCAATGAGTTACAATCAATATTTCTTAATTCTTCCATGATCTCTTGGAATCTTTCATTATAGTCTGTGTTTGCACTTGAGAAATCCTCACCATCAATGTCACTGTCACAATAATCCTCTTCTTCGTCTGCATAGCTGACATTTGCATTATTTTTTACTGAATCAAATGTAAAATTATGGGATAGTCCATTTGAATTTATGGTATCGACTGTTATATTATTAATATCGATTTTATTAGTGGTGGTTGTTGTCGTTGCTGTTGTTGGTGAGGAAATTTTATTATCTGATGGTGATGAAAGTAGTGTTGATAAATTATTATTTGATTTTTCTTTATAAAGTTGATAAATTTTATCATGTTCGTAATCGGTGTCACTATCATTTTCCTTTTCGTCATCTGCTGCATGTTGCTCGTAATCGTGATTAAAATTATTTTCATTTTCAATCTTTTCATTATCACTATTATTTAATTGATTAGCTATAACAATACCCTTACTTGCAAATCTAAGTGAAATATTTGGTAAATTACTTGGACTATTATTATCACTATTATCACTATTATTACTATTACTATTACCATTACCATTACTAATACTACTATTAATATTGCTATCATCATTATTTAAATAAAGTTTTTTGGAATAATCTTCATCATAATTTGAAATTAATAATTTTGATCTATCTTTTGGTTTTAAAGCTGGTTGAAGAGCTGGAGATTGAGAGATTGGTGAATTTGAGGTAGAATTTGGATTAGAAGGAAATTTTTGACTATGATCACTTATTCTAATATTATTAAAACCAAGGGTTGGTGGTGTTAAACTATTTTTTAAATTATCTTTTTCTTCTAGAGTCTTTTTATCTAATAACTGATCTACTGATAATAATAATGTTTCGCAAATTGTAGGAGCCGAGGTTATAATATTTGGTGGAGTTTGAGGTGTTAATGGATGCGAGGATGGCTCTTGAGTATCTTCTTTATATTCAATAACAATATCTACGAAACGATGGGTAGGTGATGGCGGGTTGCTAGTTAAACGAGGTGATGATGTATTGGCATCATTTCTGTAATTATAGCCATATGTTTGAGTTGGTATATAATTTGTAGCATCTATTTTTGCACCAAAAAATGGTAAACTATTATTATTTATATTATTTATAGTATTTATATTATTTACATTATTTATATTATTAATATTACTACTGTTTTTATTAATATTGTTATTATTGGTGTTATTGGTGTTATTGTTATTATTATTATTATCATTATTATTATTATTATCATTACTGTTATTGTTAGTGTTATTGTTACTACTAAATAATATTGAAGATTGATATGAATAATTTTTTTTTGAAGACCTAATACGTTTAAATTGTGGTGGTTGGTTTGCCTTTTTATCACGAAGAACATCTTCTAATAAAGGTGAGTTTAGAACCAAAGCTCTTAGTTTAATTTTAGCATTATCTTTAAATTCTTGAATAACTTTTCTTTTTGTTTCACCATAAGCGTCATCTTTCACTAAAATGCCACTACCACTTTCTAATAAACTACTATTTGCGTTACTACTAACTTCACTCTCCATACTGTGATCTAATTGATAGTCACTAATTGATTTATTTAACCTTTCGTAGTCTGAACTACCGAAATCATTTGTTTCATCAAGAGTTCTTCTTGCATGTCTAGCTTTAGTTTTAAAGACTTTAACATGTTCATTCTGATATTTATCGAGACTACTACTGCCAATATCGCCGGTATTACTATAAAATGGAACTGATAGAGAGGATTGGGATCTCTTTAATTTGTTTTTACTTGAATTACCACCAACACTATTTGACTCTTGTAGCTGTAATAAATTCTCTCGATTTGTTTTAAACATATCTAGTTCTCCAGTAGCTAGCTTCATTTCATTTGATGAACCAATCGAACGTTGTCTAAACTTTGGCTTACGGATGTGATGAAATGAGTAGTGTCTTGGTGTTGCCAATGTATCGCCACCACCTCCGCCAATGGTCTTTAAACCCTTTGGTCCCCCTGTCTTTTTTTTTCTGCTGGTTATACCATATTTCTTTTCTATCACAATTAACAATATTAACACTGTTATGAATAATAAAAATGTGAGGAAATTACCCTTCTTTATCGTTGCTATAGTTTCTTCCTTTTCAAATTCTAGTGATGAAAATTCGAACAATTTGTAAATTTCCACTCTTTCATGTATATTGTCCATAATAAAATTGAAATATGAATTGAATTGACTTTTAATCAAATTAAAAACCTCTTGACATTTTATAAAACCATTCGATGTTTTTAAAGGGTTAATATCATTTATTGTATCCATTATTATTTAAAATATATAAGGGTATATAATAAAATCAATAAATAAACCTCACCCCCTTTTTATTATTATATTATTATTATTATTATTAATATTATTAATATTATTAATATTAATATTATTATTATTACTATTATACTGTGATATTACAAATTATTATTGAGTTTTTAAACTATTATTTTAAACTAAATATGACCATCAGTTATTTATATATAAAATTTTTACTGAATTATTTTGTGCAATAAAAAAAAAAAATATAAAAATATAAAAATATAAAAATATAAAAAATAAAAAAAATAAAATAAAATGAAAAAAAAAAAAATTATTTAAATTACACAAATCCACTGTGTGCAGACGTGTTTGTGAATTATTGTTATTGTAGTTGTTGTTTATTTATTTTTAGAAATAGTTCCACTTAAAAAAATATAAAAAAAAATAATAAAAAAATTAAAAAATTAAAAAAAAAAAATTTGGGTTTTTGTTTTTCCCAACAAATTAAGTTTAACTTAAAATAAAAAAAAACTTAAAAAGAAATAAATATACTATTTTATATTTTTACTATTTATTATTAAATTATTATTATAAAATTATAAAATAGGTGGTATCAATAAAAATTCATATATTTTTTTTCAAAAAAAAAAAAAAAAAAAAAGTTAAAAAAATTTAAAAAAATAAAAAAAAATTAAAAAAAATAAAGTTTTTTTTTTATTTTTTTTCAAAAATGAAAAATTAATAATGGTGATTAAATTACTTAATGTTTTATTAATTTTAGTTGTGTTTGTAAATTTACTTGTATCATTCAGCGATGGATCTCAGCAACAAAACAAAACATTAATTAATAAAGATGATGAATGTTTCAATTATATACCCGAAGAAATTGTAGATAAGGTATATTTATTCCAACCTGATAATGGTGGTTTAAAAGATCAAGTTATTAAATCAACTCCTCAAAAATCGCATCATACCAAAAACACAAAAAAGAATGAAAAAAACACAAAATTATATTACCTTTTAAAAAACCTTTTACCAAATACACAATATGCAATTAGAATTTCATACACTGCATCGGTAAGGTTTTTCCAATAAACCAACACATTAAAACATTAAAACATTCGTATGAATAGTGAAAGTACTAATTTTTATTTAATAATAGAGCCCAACAGATTATAAAATTAAATTTTTTGATAATCCTCTTATTACTACACAAGTTTTAAATAAATTTATCAAAAGTGAAAAAAAAAATACCAGAGATTTATTAAATACAGAAATAATTAAATTTAAAACAGATGGTAGTGGTTATGTAATTGTATGTATACCTTTTTTAACACACATATTAATAAAGAATAGCTATAACTAACTTTCTTTTATTTTCTTCACAACTTGGATCATTTAGGAATCACATGAATTTGATACATTAAAATTAAATCCATGTTCAGTTATTACTATTGAAGCTGTCAACATTGCAATTTCTCCAACTTTTGTTCAAGGCGATTTATATAAATATCAAAGTTTCGATTTAATAATGGACACTGAAGCTATAGGTGTACCACCAGAAATTCCCAAATTAGTATTCATCATTTTAATTACAATAATAGTGGTGTTCATCTTTTTTAAAAAATTTGTATTTTCAAATAAAAATTTTTAATATACAAATAAAATATATTTTTCAAGAAATTAATATCATTTCTTTTGGTCCGTGTCTTAATTTATTTCTATTTTAAGATATGGGTACTATTTATTAATTTATTTATAAATAAATGTAAAATATTTTTTTTTTTAAATTTTTAAATTTTTAAATTTTTTTTAATTTTTAAAATTTTTTTTTTTCATTCATTTTATTTATTTTTTATTAATTTATAAAGCACGAATGCAATTTTAAAATCATTTCATTCATGAATATTGTTTTTTTATAAAGAATGGATTTTAATAATATAAACAATACCAATAATGTAAATAATTTTAATACACCATTGTTAGAAAAAATTTTAAAACTACAAAAACCAAATTTAGGAGCTTTATTAAATAGTAATATAAATAATAATAATAATAATAATAAAAATAATATCAATAATAATAAAAACTATTGCCATATTCAGCATAATCAATTAAATGATATTTTAAATTGTCTAAATGAACTATTAATCAAGTTTCAATCCAAAGCATATTTATCACCACCACAACAACCATTATCTTCATCGTCATCAACTACCACCACTACCTCCTCCTCTACCAATACTTTAAACTCTTCAAACTCATCAGTATCATCAGCATCATCAATATCATCAACCTCCTCATCAGCCTCTATAGTTATACCTACTGAAGTTTTAATTAGAGTTTTAATAAAATTTTGTAGTGTTATCCCAACAGATATAAATTATCATAGAATTCAAATTTACTCATCACCGTTAAATCTATCTATTATACAACTACCTCTAAAACTAGCGCAATTGGTAATTTTAATATCCAGACATCAAAACTCAATATCATTTTCAGATAATACCAACGACTTGGAAGCATTGGTAAACTTTTTTTTATTTATTATTAAAACAGATAAACCGCCACAACCAACACCAATACAACAACAACCACCAATTAACAATAGCAATACTGTAAACATAAATTTAAGAATAGAATCATTGAAAGCTTTATCATCACTTCTTCATAACAATGGACCACATATTTCAAATAGATTACAACAGCCATTAGTGGATTGTTTATTAGAGCTATCTAATTTTACAGACTCATCAATAGATCAAGAATCCAAAAGAATTGCAACTGTATCATTAGGAAATCTTTGTATGCAAAGTGGTACAAAACTATCAAAATATTATATTTCAATTTTTGATAGATTATTTTCAAATTTAGAGAGGGTCACATCACTGTTAAATACTGATAAATATTTAATTAAAGTAAGTACTTACTTTTTAACCACTATTTATTTTAACAAATTTAATTATAAATACTTACATATTCCCTATTTAGTTTACCTCGAGTATTTTAAGATCATTACAGTTATTAATTTCACAGGCAAAAGGAATTTTAGATCAAAGAGCAAAATCATTATATAATATATTAAAAACATTAATGTTTTATGGTGTGAATATCGCATCATCGACATCACAAGTATTAGTGTATCAATATCAATTTGACTATTTATCGAGAAAAAAGAAATCACATCACCATTCACCAACAAATTCTGAGGGTGGCAGTAACGAAGTTGAAAGGTCAACGGGTTTAACAAGCTCTGATTCAGATATTGATGAAAGATACAACCTATCAAAACTAAGATTTCTCACCATAACACTACTAAACACAATGGTTAAACACTCACCAAAAGTATTTTTTGGATACTGGTCACTATTTTTACCATCAACACCTTTCCCACTAACTCCAACTGTATTTACATCAATGCTAAATGACCCAGATATTAAAATTAAAATTGCATCAGCAAATTTACTTCAAACCATAATAGACGGATCGAAAGATTTCCTGGTTGCTGTAAATTCAATAAAACCACCCTCACCAAATTTTAATAGTACACCAACTCATACTTCAACCTCAGTAACCTATTCACCAATTTTATCAAGATTAAATAAAAACACAAGCAATAATAATAATAATAATAGTAACAGCAATTATCAAATCAATTCACCAGTTTTAACAACACATACACACAGTTCATTTACAACATTCTCACAAAATTTAACATCAATTTTAAGAGAAATTCATAATGGCTTAATAAATATTTTAAACCAAGATCCCAATTTAATTTTACCATCATTCCACCAACAAATTTTAAGATGTGTTTCAACATTAATTGTCAACTGTCCATATGAAAAACTAAATTCACCAAGTTTATTAATAAATCTATTTACTTCAATAACGCCCTATGTTCAACATAAAGATCAATCCATTCAACTTATAGCATTAATTTGCATAAAACAATTATTTGATATTACACCTTTATCACCAAAAGAATTAAACCCAATTTTATATAACAATTCAGATTCTACTAGTAAAAATAATAACTCAATTTTAACAATAATTTTAGGTTTTTTAATAAATGATACATCATTAACAATAAATATCAATAACAATAATGACCTCATACCCCAACCTTTACCTCTACCATCATCATCAAACAATCAAATGGAGTCAATTAAAATAGAATCAATTCAAATATTTGGGGCATTAACAAAACATTGTTTTAGTATATTTATAAACTATGCTGAAAAAGTTTATAATACTTTATTTTCAATTTTAAATAAGGAAATTACCAATCATTTAAATAATAGCAATAATAACGCCAATAGTGGGGGTAGTAGTTCCTCATCGTCACTATTAATCGATATACCCCTATCGAATTACTGTTTAAAAACATTTGATGAAATTACAAAAGCAATTCATGATGCTCATAAAACAAATTTCGAATTTGTAAGTAAAAAAAAAAAAAAAAAAAAAAAGAAAAAAAAAACTTACTAATTTTTAATAATATTATAATAACAGGATAACAATATAGTTGAAATTCAATTTTGGAATTTATTTTTTAATATTTTACCATCACTAACAATTGATCCATTACCACAAATTAGATCATCCATTTGCAATATATTTTCAAATATCACCTCGACTCAATTTGATAGGATGAAAAAAAATCAACAAATGCATTTAGTTAGTGTAGTTTTGGGTTTAATTTTTGACGATTCACATATTGTAAGGGCCTCTGCATGTAGGGCAGTTGGTATTTTAATTAAAATTGAATCACTTCATGATGATGCTACTTTTCTTTCAAATGCAGCCTCATGCCTTACTAAATCAATGGGCGATGTAAATATAAATGTTAAAATTAAAGCCTGTTGGTCATTAGCAAATTTATGTGACCACTTAGTTTCATTAAAGTAATTATCAAAAACAAAAAAAATTAATAATCATAAATTTAATATTAATATTAACTTTCTATTTTTTAAAAATTTATAGATCAAACGAAACAGTTTTTAATGATATACCGCAACAAATCCTATCAAAGGTTTTAGAATCATTATTAAATAGTAGTTTTGATAATCCTAAAATTAGAAGTAATGTTGTTAGAGCTTTGGGAAATTTTGCCAGATTTGCTGGTAAAAGTGTATTATACAATGTAAATGAAACAAGTACTTTTATCAAGGTATTAGGGAATAGCAATATAACAGGTCCAATTGGTGGTAATGAAGAGTTGAACAATAATAACGATAATAATATAAATAATAATCAAGAAAATATAAATAACAATGATGATATTAATAAAAACAATAATTTTGATGAAAATATAATAAATCAAAAATTACCACCACAATTTTTAAACTCAACAACATTAAAAAAAGATGCAATTATATTGGATAGAATTGTAGATTCATTATTAAAAAATGCTCAAGAACCATCAAGCTCATTCAATTTTGTTAAGGTTAAATGGAATGCTTGCTATGCCCTAGGCAATATATTTTATAATCCTGAAATCGAATTTCCCGATAAATATGGCAGCTGCGATAAATGGCTACCCCAAATCTATCATACTTTAATTGGTTTAATGAAGACATGCAAAAACTTTAAAACTAGAATCAATGCAACCGCATCATTGGCAACCCAGACCCACACCCGATTAAAATATTCAAGTTTCTATAGAGAGGTATTAGAGGCTGTGATAGACTCTTTAAAAAACATCAACAGTGTTAGTGATACTTCAGAATTTCAATATCGTGATAATTTGGAAAAACAATTGGAAATTGCTTTAATTCATATGGTGAGTGAAATGAAATTTGATGAAATTACATCCTTTAGCGATATCTTTTTTAATGATACCGATATCATTGTAACAAGTTTTCAAAAACACCAAATTATACTTCCATCAATCGCTCCAAACACAACGACAAATACCAACAAACCAATCCCGCCATTACCAATCGAAACCGATACTCCATCTAGCACACCAATAATTTCATCAACTGCCCCACCAATTACAAGCTCTGCAAACTCAAATATCGACAGACCAACATTAAAAGAATATCAAAAAGCCATAGATGTAATCAAAGAGTTTTGTAAACTATATAACAATATGGATCCAAATGATCCTAAAAAATTACAATTATCACAACTTTGTTTATTGTTTGATTTCTCTGAATCAAATTACCAAAGATTTTATTCAAAATTACAACAATTCCATCTCAACAATAATTAATATTGGTAAATAAACTATTTGTATTCTCCATTTTATTCAACACTTAAGAAAAAAAAAAAAAAGCTTTTGGGGTTTTTTTTTATTTTTTTTTTTTTTTTCAAGTTTGGGGTTTTCATTATTTTTATTTTATTTTTTTTTTTTTTTTTTTTTTTTTTGGATGATGAAATATAAAAAAAAAATTTTAAAAAATAAAATAAAAATAAATAATTTTTTTTAAATTTTTTTTTTATATTTTTTAAAATTTAAAAAAATTTTTTTTTTTTTCTTTAGTTTTTTAATACATTCATTTTGTAGGTAGGTATGGATTTTTATTTTTTTTCTTGTGTATTATTATTTTTAAAACCTTTTAAAACATAAATGTTTGATTAGTTTCATATGAAACTCAAAATGAGTTTTTTTTTTTTTTAAATAAAATACAAATGGTAATATTAATAATGGTAATAATAGTTATAATAATAACCAATATAGTTATAATAAATAAAACTAAACACCTCATTCATATTTTTTAGTTTAATAATATAATACCTTAATTTATTTTGTTATTTTTGTTGTCTTTTATACATAACAATAATTAATAATTTTTACTTTGTATTTTTATTATTTAATTAACAGTTCAAAAAAGTCTATATATATATATACAATTATTTTAAAATATTTTTTTTTTTTTTAATTTTTTTTTTAAAATCTTTAATTATTTTTATTTTTTTTTATTTTTTATTTTTTTTAAAATTTTATTTAACACTATATATTAATAACTTTTTATTATTATTATTTTAAAAAACAGTTAGTTAGGGATTATATATATATAAAATAAAACATGTTTTTATTTGATTGGTTTTGGAATATTTTAAGTTTTTTAGGTATATTTCTTTTAAACTAAAGTTCAATTTGTAGATAAATAATATAATATAATATAACAATAGTTTCTAAATAACGATTAAAGTTTTAGTTCAAATTAATATCAAAATTTTACAACATTAATAGCAATAAACAATATTAAACAATAGTAAACTTATAAAATTAATAAATATTATAAATTTAATTTTAAAATATTAATATATAAAAATAATTTAATATTGATAACATATTTAATAAATATTAAAGAAGAAACTAATAACAGAACAATAACAATAACAATAACAACAATAATAATAATAATAATAATAATAATAATAATAATAATAAATATGAAAAATATAAACTATTTTAATTAACAACCAAATTTCTTTTTAAAAATAGGTCTTTATAATAAAAACGCTAAAATTCTTTTCCTTGGTTTAGATAATGCAGGTAAAACTACTCTTTTAGGTGTTTTAAAAGATGGTCGTCTTTCATCATATATGCCAACTTTCCATCCAAGTAAGATTCATATGGTTATAATAATAGTAATAATTTACAGGATAGTAACATTTATTAATTGTTTTTTAAAATTTTAAATAGATTCCGAAGAATTAGCTATGGGTAACATTAGATTCAAAGCTTTCGATTTAGGTGGTCACGAATCAGCTCGTAGACTTTGGAGAGATTATTATCCATCAGTTGATGCAATTGTTTATTTAATTGATTCAGCCGATCAAGAAAGATTCGTCGAATCAAAGAAAGAATTAGACTCACTCTTATCATCAGACGAATTATCAAATGTTCCATTCCTTATTCTCGGTAATAAATTAGATCTTCCACAAGTTCCATCAGAAGAAAAATTCAGAGCTGCTCTTGGTCTTACTCAAACTACTGGCAAAGTAATTATCATTTTTAAAAAAAACTATTCATTCATATAATATTCTAACTTTCTTTGTTTTTTATAGGGAAAAGTTAATCTTAATGGTGTTAGACCAATCGAAGTTTTCATGTGTAGTGTTGTTAAACGTTTTGGATATGCAGAAGGTTTCAGATGGTTATCTAATTATTTGAACTAATCTACCATAGGTAATTAGAGATAATAGATTATAAAAAAAAAAATAAAAAAAAAATTAAAATAAAATAAAATAAAAACAAATACAATCACTGTATTTTTTATAATAATCAATACACAACACATAATACTACTTTTAATAATAAAACTAACAGTTAGCTTCGATTATATAAAATTAAAACATGTCAATGCATTATAATAATCAATCTACACTCGAAATTTCTTTTTTTTTTTTTTTTTTTTTTATACAAAAGAATAGAAATACCATTTTTTATAAAATATAACAAAATTTTAATTTTTTTATTAAGAAAACAATTTTTATTTACTCATAGCTAATTTCAGTTTTTAATATATTAAAATAATTCTAATTCTTCTTAAAATAAAATAAAATAAAATAAAAAATGTAGCAGTTGCAGTGCAGAGGTTACCACCAACACCGAACCCTCCAAATTTCATTAACACTGTCAGCACCAATACCATACACCGATTCAGAAAAAAAATAATAAAAAATTAAATTAAAGAAATATAGATTATACCTGTCAATCAGATAAACTAATTATTTTAGAATGGATTAAAATAATAGTTTTAAATAAAAGTTTTTAAATAAACTATTTTTTAATATTACAGATTCTTTCTAAAATTTAAGAAAAAGATTTTATTATATTCTAAATTATTTAATATATACAAGTTTTTTTGGCTATCTATTATTATTGCTATTGTTATTGCTACTATTGAAATTTTGTATTGAATAAAACTGTTGTGGAGGAAATTGATTTTGGTTTTGCTGCATAAAATTTTGGTTTTGATTTTGATTTTGATTTTGATTTTGATTTTGATTTTGACTTTGATTTTGATTTTGACTTTGATTTTGATTTTGACTTTGACTTTGATTTTGGTTTTGGTTTTGGTTTTGATTTTGAGTTTGGTTTTGGTTTTGGTTTTGGTTTTGGAATGGCTGAATAAAATTTTGACCTTGTGGTGGTTGTTGGGGTAAAATGTAAGAATTATTATTGTTATTACTATTATTCGTCTGTTGATTAAATGATTGGAATGGTTGTTGCATAGATTGGTTTTGTTGCTGTTGTTGCATAATTTGTTGCTTTTGTTGTTGTAGCTTTTGAAATAATTGTTGCTGAAGTTGCTGTTGTAATTGCTGTTGTTGTTGGTTTTGAATTTGTTGTGATGATTTAGACAAGTTAATAGATTCAATTTTTTTAGATATATTTGAGTTTAGCTTGGGTGTATTATTGCCACTAGTAGATAAAGATTGCTTTTCACAAAGAAACTGTTTAAACTCATCAATATACTGCGATAACTGGATACCATCAATTTCATTAAGTAAAGTAATTTCGTTTTCATCTTCAAAATTTTTATTTTGCTTTTGTTGTTGTTGATTCTTTGACTTGTTTCTATATGATGTCCATTTGTTTACAGAAAACTGATCTCCACCTATATTCCCACCACCCATATTATTACCGTCATTATTTAAATTATTTCTTTGTATTGGTTCTAATCCATTCTCTATTCTTTTACCATCTATCCATGCTAACAATGGCTTCATATATGGTATAATTGCTGCAAACTGGTGTGATGCTCTACTATGAAATAATGGAATATCTTCGATACTATGCCATTTAATTCTCTATTAAATATTTAAAAGTATTAATATTATTCAACAACAATAAAATATTATAGATATGTAATATAAATAACCTACACTAATTTCATATCTTGTATGGGTTTCGAAATCGGTCATTTCATCAATCCCTGTAACTATAAAAAACTTTTTAATAACACTAAAAAATATAGAAAAAAACAAATTAATATGCAACAACAACTTTAAATAAAATAAATAAAATAAAATAAACTATAGTTACCCATGAGTTTCTTTTTGAATAAACGCCTCTTTTTTTAAATATCTTGTAATATCAAAGCCAATCTCCTCAAAAACTTCTCTGGCAGCACTTTGAGCTTCTGTTTCACCTTCCTTACCTTTACCTTTTGGGAAACCCCAACCCCACCATTGTTCTTTGACCAACACTACCTTTGTCATATCTTTGTTCATAATGATTGCGCCATATTTTGGAATTAATCTTTTAAATGCTTCAAACTTTTTGATCATAGTTTGATAATTTGATGTAAATAATAATGCTTGGTGTAATGGTAATAATCTTTCATTATTTTGTAAAACTTAAAAAAAATTGTAAGTAAAATAAATATTTATTTTTTGATATTGTTAATGTTTTTGAGTTTTATTGCTTGTTGACTATGGTAGTGTTGGAGTAGATATTGGTGTTATTGTTATTATAATTATTGATTGTTATTATTTTTATTTTCTTTTTTTTCTTTTATGTACTTACTCATTTCTGCAAAATGTTGTAAATCAGGTTTGGGTAATCTAGGATTTTGGATCAAATGAATATCAATATAATACCAATATGCCTCCTCTACTGACATAAATAAATCTTCAAAAGATGAATAATTAGACTCATTAATAAATGTATCCGCTAAAGAATTTAATATATCTAGCAACTCTTGATTGTCACTAATATTGTTAGTATCAACAACAACATTACCAACACCACTGGAGTCAATGGTTTGTGTAGTTTGCTGTTGATCTGCCATCATTTATTTTATATATAAATTAAAATTCTTTAATTAATTAACCAAAAGATATACAAAAAAAATAAATAAATAAAATATTTTTTAAAAAAAAATTTTAAAATATAAAAAAAAACCCACAAATACAGTTATATAATTGTTTTATACACTCTCTTTAGATACTGCACAAATTAATAAAAAAAAAAACTTATGAACATATGTATTTAATTTTTTATTATTTTTATTTTTTTTTTTTTTTTTTTGTTATGTGGGCAAAAATTTTTTCTTTTTTTTATTTTTTTTTTATTTTTTTTTTAATTTTTTTTTTAGTTTTATAAAAAAAAAAAATTTTCAGTTTTTCAATAAAATTGAAAAAAAGTTTTTTTTTTTTTTTTTCGTGTTTGAATATTTTTTTTTTTCAAAAAAAATTTTATTTTTGCTAACAAGCATTCATTGACAAACAAATAGAAATGGAATAAATGTAAGTTTATTATTTTTATTATTATATCTTTTTTATTTTTATTATTTAATGATGATCCAATATTATCTACATTATCTGAAAACTATGATAGATAAACATTACACACAAGAATCTGATTATTTAATAATTATATATCAAAATAAATCATTTAAATTATATTTAAACTTTTTACTAATCTTTATTTATTTCTTCAATAGTTTTTTTTTTCCTTTTGACGAATCAGCTTAACTTTTCCTATGATTTCTTCTAAAAGAAATGTAAGTTTATTATAAATCGTATTCGTGCGATTTGGTTTATTTATAATGATGATCCAATATTATCTACATTATCTGAAAACTATGATAGATAACTATTACACACAAAAATCTGATTGAATAAACCAAATCAAAATGTTAAATAGTAACCAATATAATTTACTAATTTTTTTTTTTTTTCATTAAAGAAATTTATCTTTGTTACCAAGTAACATGCTAAATTGAATGATTCCTGCCTAGCTACTATAAGCCGTATGTATTACTTGACAAATAAAAATCTAAAAGCTATTTGATTTTGGTGATGACTCAAACTTATCTACATTTCTGAATTAGTTTATGATTATTAACCATTTTCTAATACATTTGACTCTGATAAAATCATAATAGCTTTTTGATTATTTTTAAAAAAATATTAATATAAATTTACTAACTTTATTTTTTTTTTTTATATAAAAAGTTTCTTTTTTTTTTGTCGGTTTCTGTGGCGCTATGGCTTTATATCTATATGGTATGTTTATCTTTATTTTTATTTTTAAAAATGGGAATAAATATAGTTTTAGTGATGACCCAAACTTATCTACATTTCTGAATTAGTTTATGATTATTAAACATTTTCTAATACATTTGACTCTGATTTAAACTAAACTTCCCTTATCAAATTAAAAACAATAAAATAACCAAACAATAATACTAATCCATCCTTTTTCTTTTTAATCAGATTTTAAAATAATTTTAAATTATAGGAATTCACTTATCTCGGATATCTCTTTGTAAAACTTTGACTGCTAGTACCTCCACCACCAAAGTTAGATATTTAAATAATTTTATTTTTATTAGAAATATTTAAAACATTTAAATAAAAATACAATTTTCAATTAAAATAATTTTATTTATTATTTGTATATATTTATAAATAATTATTTTTTCCTTTTATTTATAAATAATTACCACACCTTTAACACCCATCTTTCAGATCTATTTGTAGTATTATATTTAAAATATTTTAAATTTTAAAAAATAATTTAAAAAAGTATAAAAGAAAGAAAAAAAACATGTTTTATTATTTAGAATCAAAGAAATAAAATAAAATGTTTTTAAAAAAAATATTTGGTGTATTTTTATTATTTCTTTTATTATCATCAAATAGTATAATAAAAATAAATGGAGAAGAGCAAGAGGCATTATCCAGAAAAAAAGATGAATGCTTAAAAAGTTGTGAAAGTGATACTTGTCGTGTTAAATGCCATTTCTTACATCCTTTTTAAATACAACAACAGTATTATTAATAAAAAAACAAATAGTGTCCAAAAGTTAAAAAATAAATATAATTTCTTTCTATAGAAATATTAAATAAACTAGTTTTTTGTTTTATATTTTTAAAATTATTATTTAATATTGTTTTATATTTTTTTTTTATATTTTTTATTTTACTATTTTTTTTTTTTTTTTTTTTTGTTATTATTTTTAAAGAAAAAATAAATATAAGTGGTTTGTATTTGTATAATATATTATCAATTATTATGTTGTGTGAATTTTTTTAATATAATTAAACAAAAATGAAATTATAACAATGGTGGAGGTGTATTGTATGGTTTGGGTTGAGAGGGTTGCATTAATAAGGAGTGGTTGTTGTGTTTTTAATGGGTTGATAATGTATAAATGTTGGTGGGGTTTTAGAAGAAATATTGCATGGTAGCACGAGTTGATGGTATATTTCTTTCATCTTGAACGGCTTGGAAGATCTTGAAGTCTTTTTCTAAGTTTTCATTTAATGAAAGAATTGAAGCTACATTACCGCATCTATAGCAATAGTTTGGTGCGGACCAAACAGTAACTAAGCTGTTATCAAACATATATTTATAACCCTCTTGTACAAGTTGATGAGCACGACAAATAAGTTCGAGACCATTGATGTGTTCAAATTCGGCAGTAACTTTTGAACCGAATAACCAACCGGCACCACGTGGACTTGGTTGCCATTGTTCGATATCTTCTGGATCAGACCACATTAAATCACAGAATGGACCTTCATGTGGAATTTCTAAGTTTCTTGAAATAATTCTAATTTGGTCTAAGGTACGAACCTTTGGTGATAAACCACCATGAACACAAAGAACTTTACCATCAATAATCTAATAAAAAAAGTAAAATTAATAATTAGTAAACTATAATGATTAAAATGAATGATAGTATTGGCTAATTTTAAACATACAGCAGCTAAAGTTAAAAGATCGAAAACACTAGTACAATATTTCCATGCGTTAACATTACCATATTTTTGTTGACATTCATCATAAAAACCATATACTTGAGTAATTTGTCTTGATTCGTGGTTACCTCTTAATAAAGTAATTTTATCTGGATATCTAGCTTTGAGGGCAAGTAAATATGTGAAAGTTTCTAAACTGTAATAACCTCTATCGACGAAATCACCCTATTTAAATAGTATTAAATTAAAATTAATGTTTGTAATAATTTTTTTTTTTTTTTTTTCTTAACTGGGACATACCATGAAGACATAGTTAGTATCTGGAATTTCACCACCAGTTTTAAATAATTCTAAAAGATCATAAAATTGACCATGGATATCACCACAAATGGTAACTGGTGATCTAACTGGTTGAACATTTGATTCTTCTAATAATAATTCTTTAACTCTTTCGCAAAGTCTTTTTAAATCATTTTCTGGAAGATAACGACAGCTTCTAGCTTGTTCAACCCATTCATCTATATAGTAATAAAATTATAATATAAATTAATAGGTTATAAAATTTAAATTTATTATTACTATAATGGCCATAATATTTGTGATTTTTTTTTTTTTTTTTTAATTAAACTATAAATAAGTGTTTAATTAAATTTAACTTTTTTTTTTTATCTTTTCTATTTTAAAAAAAACCTATATTGCCATCTGTACACTATAAATATCCAATTAATTCTTACCTAAAGGTAAAGCGTTCATTTTTATGTATTGTTTATATATTTATATAAATTGAAATAAAAAAAATTTTCTTTGTTTAAAAATATTTTATAAAATTTGATTTGTTTGTGTTATTGAATAAAATATTTATTATATTCAACAAGTAATCTAATATTTGGTTATTATAAATATATAGTACAGTTAATTACACACACACAACAGTAATAATCAATAAAAAAAATTTTTTAAAAAAATTTAAAAAAAAAAAAAAAATTTTAAAAAAAATTAAAAAAAATTTAAAAAAAAAATAGAAAAAATTTTTTTTTAAAACTACACAATAAAAAAAAAATAAAAAAGGAAAAGAAATAGAGGGAATATAAACGCAAAGAGATATTTAAAATTTATAAAATAAATATAAAAAAAAAGATATATATATATATATATTACAATAGTTATTATTATTTTATCCAAAGTTAACTAAAATATAAATATAAAAAAAATGAATTTAAATAGTTTTTTTTTTTAAATATATATTAAATAAAAAAAATAAAAATAAAAATAAAAATTTAGGACAAATGACACAAAAATTATGTGTACAAATATTTAAATAAACTAGTCTATATAAATATATTTTATTATTATATTGCAAATTTACTTTTTGATAATTAATCTAAAAATAAATTAATTGTTAAGATATTTTATTAAATGATATTTTAAATGAAATTAAATATTTTTTTTTATTAAAACCTATAATTTCTAAAAATAGTTATAATTTGGTTTTTTTTAAAAAAAAAATAATATTTAAAGTTGATTTTGAGATATTGACTATTTTCATTCTTTTACCATTAAAAAAAGAAATCAAAATATCTAGCTCGATTTATTTCGTAAATAAATTATTGAGTATCTCTTTTTTTTATTGTTTATTATTACTATGTTAATAATTAATAATTATTGTTATTGGTTTATGATTTTATGATGGTAATGATGATTTAATAAATAATATAAAGCGTTGGTGTTGTATATAAGGAGTTGATGGTATTGGTTTCTATTGTTAATTTGTTTATTTGTTTATTTGTTTGAATTTTTATATAATATATATAAAATAAACAAATTAAAAGCTTTAATTATGGACCGGGCATTTTTTAGATTTCGTTATATAGGCTAAAATACAATTGGTATGAAAAATACACCAACACTCTAGCCTAGCTACCTCCTGACCTTGATAAAACTCCTCTAAACAAATTGCACATTCCTGTTCACCTAAATCCTGCTCCAATATACTTGTTGAGTATCCAACACCGACCTGTTTTTGTGGAACTTTAATATGACTCTTACTTAAATGACTAATAAGATTTGATGTCTTCTCACTACAAAGTGGGCACTTGTGGCTGTGATGATTTTCTAAAAAGTGTTTATCATTACAGTGGTAAATAAATTCGACTGTAAGTATAGACTTTCTACAGTATGGGCATTTTACATTCTCTGGTCTTTTTGGGCTATATTTTGATTAATAAAATTATTAGTATTAACAGATTATGTGTTGTAGTTTTAAAGTAAGTAAACCTACTCGCTAGTCTCTTTATCTAATAGGTTAAATGTTAAACATTCATCTATATGCTTATTGATTGAGGCCCAATCTTTACCAATAGATTTAAATGAAATTCCACAAACTGGACAATTATTATTTGGGTCTGGTATATCTTTATTATCATTAGTGTTTGGATATTGTTTACTGGGGTTGTTATGTTATTTGTTACAGGTTTTGTTGATGTAGCTGGTGTCACTGTGTTCGTCAAATGCCTTTGGCTCCATTGATTTGTCATTAGGACTACTATTATTACTATTGTTTTGTGGGGGTTTCAGTTGGTTTATTTACATTATTGTTGTTGTTGGTGGTTGTTGTTGTTGTTGTTGTTGTTGTTGTAGCAGTTGCTGATGGTGTATTGCTATTTTCACTATTGAGATCAATGCTACTTAGTTTCTGAATCAACGTATTTGTGTCATAAAAAAATGGAGGTATTGTTGGATCCTTTATAATTGAAACTGAATTCTCCTTAATTAAAGATACTGAGGGATAAATTGAAAATGTTTTGTTTGAAGGTGAGGACTGAAAACTATTTAAAATGTTAATGAAAGAGGTTTGTAATTCACCATTTTTGAAGAATGCGACATTGCTATTGTTTGTATCGATAAGCATACCTATTCTATCGTTTGTTGTGTATGGTTTTGCCTTTTGTGCAGTCAATATAAAGCCGTCCTGCGAAACTGTACCATTTGCAAAATAACATATTGATCCAATTCCAAACTCTTTGAAATAACCAAATGGTGAAGAGCCTCTTAAACTACCTATTTCGCCTACTTTGATTTCTAAAATTCTATCTAAATATCTTTTGCTCATTAATCCAAAAACTATAAAATGTTAGTATTTTGGTGTTTGATTTTTTTTTAAACTAACAAAACATACCAATTTTAATCGAATTTGAGACATTGCAAAACTCTACTTTAATTTCGTAATAATAAAATGTGTTTGGTTGCCTATTTATTGAAATATCTGGCCCTGTAGCTGTAGTCCATGCTTTACCTTCACCTGCATCAACCACCTTAAGGTTATCTTTATCTAATAGTTTAGTCTCTGTTCTACTGGGGTCCCAACTCCACCCTGGTGTATTGGTTTCGATATTTGATATCATCTTTATTAATTTAATATTTATATATTTATGTATTTATTGTATCTTTTGTAACCCCTTTCTATTTTTTATTGCGCTGTGTAGTTATATTATTGTGATGTTGTTATTGTTGATTGTTATTGTTGCTATTGTTGTTATTGTTTATAACTATATAAAACATATGAAATTTGAAAATATTAATATTATATAATTAAAAAATAAAGTAAAACTAATGATAAAAAAAAAAAAAAAAAAAAAAAAAAAATGTTATGTGAACTAAATAAAGGGGCTATTTAATAAATAAATTGGATAATAAGAGTTTGTTGTGTTTTATTTTGAAGAGTGTGTTTTTTTAAAACAATAATAATAAGACAGTGGTTCTTAAAATTTTTTAATTATTTTCTTTTTTTTTTTTATATTTTAATTTTTTTTAAAATTTTTGCAAAAATAATTATTATTTTAATTTAATAAAAAAATAATAGTTAAAAATTTTTTTTTTTTTTTTTTAATATATAACTGATTAGTTTTTCTTTTTATAGGTTATTTATTCATATATGTGTATAAATAAATGATGTTATTATAACTTTTTATTTATTATTATACAAAAATTATTTATTTTTATTATTATTATGTACTATAGCAATAGTATTAATACAAAAACTAAAAATAATAAAATTATATTATAACAATTAAAAAAAAAAAAACTGGATATAAATTTTATATTTTGATAAATCTGAATTTTTTATGTATTAAATTATTATTATTATTCTTTATTAATTATTATTACTATTATAATATGTAATATTTGATTCTTTTTCTATTTAAATATTACCATTAATTTTTTGTGATACTCTGTGTAGTTTTATTAGTATCAACTACTTGTTTTACTATTAATATTTTGAAATTGTTTGTGTTTTACTATTATTATAATTAATCTATCCAATATTCCCTCATGTATATCAAAGGTTTTGAAAAAATATATAAAAACAAAAAAAAAAAAAAAAAAACAAAACAAAAAAAAAGTAAAATATTATAATTATATTAAACTATATATATTATTTTAAACTATATATTAAAATAAACAAAATAAAATTAAAAAAAAAAATTTGAATAAATAAAAAAAATGTAAACACACGCAATTTATTAATATGTGTGATAAAAATAATTAATTTTTCAATGTTCATTTAAATTTTTTATTAAATTTAATTTTAATTTTAATTCTTTTTTTAAATTATTTTTATCTATTTTAATATTTTATTATTCTATTTAAAATTATATCGCAGAAACCATTGGTATTAATATAATTATATTGGGTATACTAGAGTTGTATATTTTTTTTTTTTTTTTTTTTTTTTATTTTCATTAAATTAAAATCAATTCTGGAAATTAAAAAACTATGTAATATTTGGGGTTACAAAATTTATTTTATTGAACCTAACAATTGCAATGATTACTAAAGAAGGTTAAATTCCCCCCCATTTTTTTTTTTTTTTTGATGTTGCTTAAAATAAAAAGAAAAAAATCAATATTTTTTTTTTTAAATCTAAATTATTATTAAATATTAAAAAGTAATAATTTGTTTATTTTAAAAAAAAATTAATGGATATTTAGGTAATAAAATAAAAAAAAAAATTATTATTGTAATACAAAAAAAAAAATTTTAGAAAAAAAAATGGCTTTAAAGCCAACCATCCATTTTAATCATGAAATATTCATTTATAAAAAAATTTAAAAAAAAAAAAATAATAAATTTTTTTAAAATTTTTTTTTTTTTTGATTTTTATTATTTTTTTTTTAAAATTTTTTTTTTTTTTTTTTTTCAATCATCACTATCTTTATAGATTATATTTTATTTCTCTATACTAGTTTAATTTCTTTTTATTGTTTATCTTAATTTTTTTTTTTTTAAATTAAATTTGTTTTTGTGTTTTAAAGTTTATTTTTTATAAACATTTAAAACATATTTGTATAAAGGAAAAAAAAAAAAAAAGAAAGGAAAAAAAAAGGAGATTAACATCAAATTTTTTCATTGTACACTATATATAAAATCATTTTTTCATTTTAATTTATTTATTGTATTACTATAAAATATAAATATAAAACATGGACTCAAATAAAGTTATTGTTTGCGATAATGGTACAGGTGTAAGTTATCATTTTTATATATATTAATATATAATAATCAACTTCAACTTCAAAAAAAAAAAAAATTTATATTTTTTTAGTCAATATAATAATAAAAATAAAATTAAAATTTAATATAATTTTACTAATTATTCAATTTCTATTATAATATTTTTTAAAATTCAATCAACTTCAATTAATATAATACAATATGGATGCATTACAAACTTCAATATATAATAATCATATAATAATAATAATAATAATAATTAAAACTTTAGTTTGTAAAATGTGGTTTTGCTGGTGCAAATTTCCCAACTGCAATTTTCCCATCAATGGTTGGTAGACCAATCCTTCGTTCTGAAGAAAAGATTGAAAATGTCGAAATTAAAGATATTATGGTTGGTGATGAAGCTGCTAAATTAAGAACTATGTTACAAATTACCTATCCATTAGAAAACGGTATTGTTCGTAATTGGGAAGATATCACCCACGTTTGGGATTATGCATTCAAAGAAAAATTAAAGGTTAAAGATCCACGTGAATGTAAAATTTTACTCACTGAACCACCAATGAATCCAGTTGCCAATCGTCAAAAGATGGTTGAAGTCATGTTTGAAAAATATGGTTTCCAAGCTGTTTATGTTGCCATTCAAGCCGTTCTCACCCTTTATGCTCAAGGTCTTTTAACTGGTGTTGTTGTCGATTCTGGTGATGGTGTTACTCACATTATTCCAGTCTATGAAGGTTATTCAATTCCACATCTCACCCGTCGTCTCGATGTCGCTGGTCGTGATGTTACTCGTTACCTCATCAAATTATTATTACTTCGTGGTTATGCTTTCAATCGTACTGCTGATTTCGAAACCATCCGTCAAATTAAAGAAAAACTCTGTTATGTCGCTTACGATGTTGAACAAGAAAAGAAATTAGCTCAAGAAACCACCGTTCTTGTCGAATCATACACACTCCCAGATGGTCGTGTTATTAAAGTTGGTAGTGAACGTTTCCAAGCCTCCGAAGCTCTCTTCAATCCATCATTAGTCGATGTCGAAGGTGGTGGTGTTCACGAACAACTCTTTGATTGTATTAGTAAAGCCGATCGTGATCTTCACCAAGGTTTCTACCAACACATTGTTTTATCAGGTGGTTCATCTATGTATCCAGGTCTTCCATCTCGTTTAGAAAAAGAAATTAAAAACCTTTATCTTGAAAAAGTTTTAAAGGGCAACAAAGAAGGTCTTGCCAAATTCAAATGTCGTATCGAAGATCCACCAAGAAGAAAGCACATGGTTTTCTTAGGTGGTGCAGTTCTTGCACAATTAGTCAAAGACAGAGATGATTTCTGGATTACCAAGAAAGAATATGAAGAGTATGGTGTCAAGGCGCTCGACAAATTAACCAAATTATCAGTTTAAAAGGGTGGTACAACCATGGTAGTTCAACCAAATTTTTTAAAAAAAAAACCAAAAAAAAAAAAACATAACAAAAAAATTTTTTCTTTTCTTTTTTTAATATAAAGTTTAAAAAAAAAAAATAAAAAAATAAAAAGAAAACATGAAATATTAGATAATAACACAATAATACAGAAAAATTAAAAAAATAATAAAAAAAAAAAAATATAATATTTATTACTAAAAAAAAATATATAGTTTTTACATGTTTTTTAAATATGTCCCCTAGGGGTTTTTTTTTTAATTTAATTTTTTATTTATTTTTTCTATTTTTTTTTTTAAATTTTTATTTAATTTTTTAATTGATGACACAATAAATGGATAGTGATAATAGTATGGATAGTGACACCAAAAATGAAATAGTTTTTTGGAAAGTCTTTAGAAATAAATATTTATTTTCTACAATTCTAAAATTATTATCATTGGATTATGTCGGTAAAAATGGTATACCAAATCATTCAGTAAACTATTTGATCGTTAACAATTATATAAATATATTAAAACATAAAATATTAAATAATCATTATCTCAGTTTCGATGATCATAGTTTCAAACAATTATTAAAATTATTCAAATGTAACAGGAACAGTAATAATCAAAAAGAAATTGAAGAAATATTTCAATGTTTTTTTCAAAGATATCAATATTATTTTTTTTATTCATACAAATATTATATTCTATATATAATTCAATACAATAATGTAATAGCATTAAAAGTATTTTATCAAATTTTTTTAAATGGTACAAATGACCAAAGAGTAGTTGGTTATATAAATAGATATATATTTGACCAATCAATACGACTGTATAGCCATAGGTGTGCGTCATGGGCGTTGTCTGCAATTAAAGAACAAATGGAAATTGGGAATTGGGTTACAGGCGGTATTTCAAATGAGGCTTTTCAACAGGATCAATTTTCTGATGAATCAACATTACCACTGCATTTAAAATTGGTTTTAAAGAGTTTTGATTGGACCAAAGGGTTTTCCTTTCATTTAAATAAAAATGAAATCTGGGATCTAGTAATTTCATCACTCCATTATCCATTCGATGGAGTAGGTTACATCAATTACTCCATCAAAACCAAGAATAAAATATACAAGCTAGTGTCGTTTTTTATGAAAAATAAGGATATCAAACTAAAATTATCAGATTCTAACAAATATTTAGGTAGCATAGAGGCTTGGAAACAAAATTTATCTGATTTATTTCGTGGGCGTCCCTTTAATGAAATCTACAACATTCAACAATTTATAAATATAAATAAATTATCAGTGATATTAGAGTATCGAATAAATCCAGAATTTTTAACACTTGATCAATTAAATGAAATCGAAAACGAAATAGTGTCTTCAAATCGAGGCAAAGAAAAAGTTATTTGTGCAAATCCAGGGGATGAGGGGGTTAGAAGGTTAGTAATGATGTATTTAGGGATCTCAAACTTTTCAACACTCAATATAATAGACATGGATTGTTATATAAAATATGAATTTGATGGAGATGTAGAAAAAACCAATTATTCACTATTAGATACATTACTGCACTGCAAAATTCAATTGTTTTATAAAAGGTTTGAAAGTTATTCAAAATACAATATCTCAAATAGTAAACTAATCACATCATTTCAAGATGTTTTCGATTCTACATACTTTCATAATCATATGGATTATATTCTCAAATACCAACATCAAAATGAAGGGAAATCAAACTTTGATGGGTCTTGTAGAAAAAAAGATCCACTAAAAAAAGAATCGGTAATGTTCAAATATTGCAATCATTTAACATTTGAAGAAAGGTGTCAATTTATTAAAGCAATGGTTAATTATCTTTCAAATGATGGTACTCCAGGGATGTTCAGGGTCGATTTTTATTACATCATATTAAACTGTGTAATATTGGATGAGGATTTAGATTTAATTAAATTCAGCATCAAATTCATAAGTCCACTGTTAGAAACCAAACCACAATCCAAGCTCCATGGAATGGATAATTTGTTCAAGTACATTGGGTCACCCGAGTCACTGGATATATTATACCCATATATTAAAAATGATAAGAAATGTGATCCATCAATTTGGTGTTTTAAAGGAAGAGTCGATTTGTTGAAGAAATATGAACAATTGTTAACTAAAACCAGATATCCAATTAAAATCACAACCGACTCCGATATTACTAACACAGCTGAGTTTGAATTTTATTTAATCGGGTACTCATATTCTTTATCTAAACCAGATATATACGATATATCAGGTATTGAAAATACTACCAAAAAAATATTTTCAAAGACAATTTTTACAGTAAGTTCAAAAGAGTCCTTCAAAAGAATAATGTATATTTCAGAGATATCAGGTTTACATTTGCCACCACTGGCATTTGTTGATTTATTCAAAATCAATAGGTCTACTATTGAATATTTTGAATGGTATTTACAAAGGATCAATTTTAACTATGAAAACAAGCAGTTTCACTCAGAACCAATCAAAACAGTTTTATATCACACAGGTCAATGGGAATCATTGTTTAAAATCTATGAAAATTTTGGCGATTTTTTAAAGAATTCTCACCAATGGTTATCAATAGCTGCAAAAAACAGAAGTTTGGAGATTTTAAAAATGATTATTCAATATTTTGGTGATGAAATCAAGACAATGGTGTGCAGAAATTATAACCAATCCGGCCCTACAATTTCAAATTTAGAAAAGTATATTTTAAAATTTTTAAAGTATAGTTTAGATTCAATTAAATATTTAAATCAATATCATCCAGAAATATTAGAATCATTAAATTTAGAGAAAATAGTTTTGAAGGCTTTAATCAACAACCAATATGACTATGCATTTTATCTTTATAAGAATTACTTGAAATTTAATTTTTCGGTTCCCCACAAAACAGATAATTATATAAATAATTCCACAATAACTTTTTTTAATAATATAACAAAATAAAAATTTATTTATACAAATTCTTTCTATTTTTTTTTTTTAAAGGTATTAATTATTTTATTTAATTCTTTTTTTCGATTAATTGTCTAGTTAATTTATTTAAATATTCAACTTCACCTGGTGTTGATAAACCGGATGCTTGCCAACGGATTTTACCCTCATTAACTAAAAATACATATGCACTATATGGATTTGAAATTGAAAAATCTTCATATAAATTATTTGATGATTTAATATTATAGAATGGTTGGTTACTCCACGATTCGATAACACTATCAATCTTTCCTGCCCTAGTGCTCTTAATAATTGGTGATAATAATTGATACGAAAATTGATTTACTAAAACTAAATTATAAACTTTAATATTTGGAAATTGCTCTTTGAATGGATCTGACCAACTTTTAACATATTTCTGCAATAAAAAATAAATTAGTATTAAAATTATTAATACTATTGATATTATTGAAATTATAATTATTATTGTTATTCTCTATTGCTATTATTATTATAGTGTAATTGTTTTAAATATTCAATTGATTTTATTTTTATATTTACATCTGAAAAAAATGGTTTTAAGGTAACAATTAATAATGTTGGTTTATCGGTTTCAAGACAATCGGGAAAGTTTAATTGATTTCCTTTTAGATCTTTTGATTTAACAGTTGGTACAGTTTGGGCTTGTGATTCTGAAATAAGAGTTGGTGAACCAACAATTTCTTTTAGTGAAGGGTTTTTCATCATTTCTTTAAGATCCCATAGCATACCTGACTCTAATTCTTTTTTACTAAATAAAATTAAATTAATTATCCATTTTAATAAACATAACCTTATATAAATATAAATTACACTCTTCTTTTGGCTTGATTATCCGCATTTTCTTGGTAGTATTTAAAAGGATTTAAGAATTTCTTAAAGTTTGACATATTTCTGATTGGGTGAGCATTTTTTGTAATATTATTGCTGAATAGTTTGGTAATGGTGTTTAAACATCTTCCATTTGGTATTAATCTTTGTTTTATCATTTTTAAATTATTTGTGCAATGAAAAAATTTAAATGAAAAAAAAAAAAAAATTTAAATTATAAAAAAAAAAATTAAAAAAATAGTTTTTAAAAAACTAAAAAATTAAAAAAAAAAAAAAAAGATAAATATAAAATAAATAAATAAATAAATAAATAAATAAATAAATAAATAAATAAATAAATAAATAAATAAATAAATAAAATAAAATAAAATATAAAATAAAATACAAAATATAATATAAAATATAAATATTAAAAAAATAAAAACTATTTATTGATTTATTTATTGTTTGGTAATTGTGGGTGAGTTGTTAATGTGGTAACTGATGGGGGAATGCAGTCAAAAGATAACCCTTGTTTAAAATCACGGCCTAAATGGAGCTCAGTAACAGAGTCAGGAATAGACCCAACTAATAAAGATTGATTGTAACTAGATAAAAATTTAAAAAAGTATTAGGATATGCTTTTTTTTAATAAAATATTTATTGTTTATAATTACCTATTACCAAAAATAAGGGTTTTAACAGATGATGGTATAGTGCCTGGAGTAATGATAGAGTTGAACATTTCAGAAAGTTTTATTTTACGAGTTGTTTTTGGGATGGTGCCTGGCGTAATAAATTGGCTAAAACTATATATAATTAAAAATGTTAATATTACAAGAGAAATTTTATTGTTTATATAAAAAAGATAGTTACTTATATCCAAAATCTATTGAAACTAAATTTTCTGGGATGCTGCCACGAATTAAGCTTTTGTTAAAATCGTGACCAAACGTAAGGTCGGTGATTGACGATGGTAATTGGAATGGCTTGATTTCTTGATTAAAACGATCACTAAACCTAAGACTTTGAACTGATGAGGGAATAACCCCAGTTGGCGATAGGGGCTTATTAAATTTTGAACCAAAGCTAAGATCAGTAACTGAGTTTGGTATATATCCAATCTTTAAAAGTTGGTTGAAAGAATTACCAAATACCAATGTCTTGATATTTGGAGGAATCGTACCAACGACTACATTACTATTTATTATTAAATGGGTAACATTTTCTGGGAAATTTTCAATTTTTATTGGTTCATTTGAGATATATTTGATCGTTGTAACTTGTCTATTTTTGTTTTTGATTTCTAAGAGTTCTTTGTTGGAATACACCAAAGCCAAACTATCTTCATTGCTATTATCTGTTTTATTTGTTTTTGTTTGATTTAAATTATTGAAAATACAATCTTTGATTTTTTTGTTTCTCCACATATCAAAAAACAACTCCTGCTTTTCATTGTTATTTTGAGAGATTTCCATATCTTTGTCATTAACAACATTATCGCTAGTATGCTGTTTGTTATTGTTGCCCATACTATTCAAATTTTTATTTGTATTCATATTACTATTATTATTCATATTCATATTATTATTATTATTATTATTATTATTATTATTATTATTATTATTATTATTATTCATATTGTTATTATTATTATTATTATTATTATCATTATTATTATTATTACTATTACTATTATTATTATTCATATTATTATTATTGTTTTGATTTATTAATTTTTCGATAGATTCCTGAAATCTTAAGGTTTCACCAACATACTTTAAACCCAAAGATTTTAATACTGTTATTGTATAAAGATTATCTGAACTTCTTTTATTGATAGATATTAAAGAATTGCCATCAATTCTCTGTTCGTAAATATTTGTAATTGTATTTTCATCAAAATTTAATTTTTGTAACCATCTTGAAACATCTTTAATGTCCCATTGTTCAACCTTTTTATTTTCGAAGTTATTATCATATTGTGCTTGGTTCAAAGGGATAGATTGTTGGGTAGGTTGAGCTACTTGATTTTTGGGATTTAAAGACTGTGTTTGTTGGGAGGGGTAAGGATTGTTGGTTTGCTGGTTGAACGACTGGAGTGGCTTTTGGCTAGCTTGGTTTTGTTTTAAAGGCTGTTGAATGGGTTGTTGAATGGGTTGTTGCAAAGGTTGTTGTAATAGTTGTTGCTGAGGTCGATGTAAAGGATATTGTGGAGGAAATTGTATAGTTGGTTGGAGATGTTGATTAAAAGTTTGAAACTGTGGTTGTGCGGAAGGATTAAGTTTATGATAAAGTTGTGTGTATAAATCATGATGCAGTTGTTGGAATAGTTGTAAAAATTGGGGGTTTTGTTGTAAATTTGATGATTGGGTCAAAATTTGTTGAACCTGAAGTTTGAGAGATTGATATTCATCCTCTTGCTTTTGTTGTCTTTGAATTACTTGGGTTTGAGTTTCTTTTGATTTTAAATCTCTTTCGTCAATATGATTTGAAATTTGAGCTATATCTTGAACAATTTTTTGAAGATTTTGGGAAAGGTTTGCCATTCGGGGATCTTGGTTATCCATTTTATTAATGTCTTCTTCAAGATTTAGTATAACCTGTTTTTGATTTTGGTTAATAGTAATTTGATCCTGAATTTGATTTTGTAGATTTTGAATCTGTGTAGTCAGTGTAGTACGCAATTCCTGATTGTCTAGGAGAATAAGCTGTTGATTTTCAAGAATTTTCTGTTGTTGATTAAGTAATTTCTGTGAGTGTATATCTTGAATATCCAACTTATAATTGCTGGATGAATTAACTCTTAATGAAGTTGTAGTAGTGGTAGTTGATGTGCTAAATAATTCTAAAACGCTATTATATTGAGCTGTTATTGAAAGCACCTGTTGTTGAATAATATTTTGTTGTTGAATTATCTTAACAACCGAATCCATAATTAATAACATATTTTCTGTTGAATCATTCTGATTGCCATTAAAGCTATTATTATTATTATTATTACTATTCCCTTCAACTGATTTTTTAACTTCATCATTTTCCTTAATTAATAGGTTATTACTATCATTTATATTATTATTATTCATATTATCAATTTTATTATTATTATTATTATTATTATTATTATTATTATTATTATTATTATTATTATTACCGTTTGTATTTCCATTACTATTGATGTTAGCCTCCTGATTGGCTTCAGTATTTGGGCTAGATTCACCGCTCATATTTATCTCTGTATTATGTTCAATAGTGCCACAAGACCTTAAACACAAATTTCTTGTATTTGTATTTATATTCATATTTATATCTGTATTTTTATTAATGTTTTTGGTAGGGCTCTCAATTGCAGTGTTTTGTGCTATTGAACCATTAACCAATTTTGTAGTTGTGGGTGTTGTGGGTGTTGCTGATTTGGGGCTATTATTTTGTCCCATTGTGGATATTGTGGATGCTGTGGAAGTTGTGGAAGTTGTGGAAGTTGTGGAAGTTGTGGAAGTTGCTGATTTGGTGTATGTTGAGGGTGTTGTGGGTGTCGTGGGTGTCGTGGGTGTTGCTGATTTGGTGTATGTTGATATAGAGCTTCTTTTATGGGGTTTTTTTGTTCTATGTTTAGATTTAGAGCCATCACTATCACTATCACTATCAATGCTAATACTAATAATTTCATCTCTACCTCTCTTTAAATTTGAACTATTTTCTAACTGTGATGATGAAAGAGATGATGTTGGTGATTCTGATGGTAATGTTGGAGTTGGTGATGTTGAGCTTGATGTTGATGTAGATTCGAATGTTAAATCAACAACTGAGGATTGCTTTTTCTTTTTTGACATTGTTATATTTTGAAAAAAATAATAAATATTATCTAAATATATTTAGAAAATAAAATGATCTGTAGCTAATTTCTGAATAAAAAAGGGTAAATATTAATCCTTGAGAAAAAAACCAATTTCTATCTAAAACATATATTACCTAATACAATAGTAAACTAGTAAACATAATATTAATTCAAATAAATAATGTTAATTCAAAATAATGAAAAAAAAAAAATTTCAAAAAAAAATTTATTTTTATTTTTATTTTTATTTTTAAATTTTAAAAAAGTTATTAATTACCTTTATTTTTTTTATTTTTTTATGTTGTATCTAATTTTGGTTTTGTTTTAACTTTTTTTATATTTCCTTCTTTTTTTTTAAAAATTGTACAGTTTTGGTAATTATATCTAATATTTATAGTATTTATTGAAGGAAATATGATAAAAAAATTAATTTTCTTTAAAATTAAAATTTTGGCAATAAAAAAAAAAAATTGAAAAAATTATATTTTTTTATTTTTTTTTTTGAATTTTTTTTATTTTTATTTTTTTAAATTATTTTTTTAATTTTTATAAATTAATAATTTTCAAATCTTTATAATTATATTCAAAGTGAATAATCAAAAACCAAAAAAAATAAAATAAAGATAAAAATAAAAAACCAATATAAATTATATCAAATAGTAATTTAAAAATAATAATAAAAGAAAAGAATTACAACACCAAAAATTAGTTTTTACAAAAAAAATTATTTTAGATAATTGTTGTGTGATGATGTCAACTCCAGCAAGTACAACGCCACCACAACAACAAAATACTAGTAGTAACTCAGCAACAGTATTATCTACATCTACATCTTCAGCATCTAGCAGTGTCATTGATACTAATTCACCAACATTATCGTCATCCTCAGCCTCATCCATAGCACCCGCAAACGCAGGTATCAATATAACAACAAGTAATGTTAGTTTAAACTCGTCGATATCTTCCTCTACAACATCATTAAATGCATCAAATAGCACTGGGGTATCGCCCTTACAGCAACCACCAACTATATCTATTACAAACTCACCAAACTCGACTGTAACAAATAAACAAGCAACATCACTCGATTCAACTGAACATATTACAATTACATGTAAGTTATTTATAATATGTAACAACAAAATAAAATATGTGTAAACTAATGTATTTTTTAATTATAATTAGATCAAGATGATGCATCTTCAGTTTGGAAATATGTCGAAGTAGAGTTACCAAATCATTTACCATTAAGAAATATTTCATGGAAAACTAAAACAGGGCATACAAAAGTTGTGGATAAAATGCCAATTGAAATACTACAATATAATGACGAAAGAATTAGACCAAGTTATGACAACCAAACTCTTTATAGGAAGCCATATTTATATTTATATTTAGTACATTGCGACGATCCAGATATATACAAAAATACCATTAGGGGTAAAATAAAGAATTGGGTATCACAAATGACCGAAAAGGGGCAAGAATGGTTAATTGTTTATGTTTCATTGGGCCCAAAAAGATTTGGGGAGATAACATCAAAACTTTCAAGAACAGTTTACGATCGTATAAAGAGTGATTTTAATGTTAAACGTGATAGATGCTGCCAATTAAGATTTTTAGATGACTCTAATCGCAATGATGATCTTTGGGATGACCTTTTAATGAAGATGAAAGAAGGTATTATTGCAAGTGCCGAACAATATCTAACCACCTACGAAGATGAAATTAGAAAGATGGATGCAAAAAGAAATTTACCAGGTTGGAGCTACCAAAACTTTTTTTTTATAAAAGAAGGCCTAGCGTTGATATATGAACGTGCTCAATTATACGAAGATGCCCTTATGCAATACTTTGAGTTGGAAGTTTTATTCACCGAAAATAGATCCCAATTCGAATTGATAACAGATCCTGGCAGATTAGAAAGCAACGATAGATCTTGCAGTGGTAATATATTGGATACATCAACTAAAGATTTTAGAAAACTAATTCACGAGAATAAGATTAGCTTGTTTGATTTCAAAATTTATTTATTTGCAAGACAATGTAAATTGCTATTCCTTTTAAAGAAACCAATCGAAGCAGCAACCAAATCAATTTCATTTATCACATCAATCTCAATGATCATAAAGCAATTTCCAAATTCATTCTCACCAATGTTCAAAGAATCTTGGACCTTTAGCACAAGTATGGAGTTAATTAATGCGTGTCAAGATTCATTCGAAAGAATTATTTCGAGCTCTCAACAAACTACTGGTACAAATCAAACAGTCCAAAAAGTTAATAAATCAACCACCCCATCAATCAGTAGATTACTTGGTGCTTTTGGTACACCATTCAGCAGTAGTAGTAGCAGCACAGGAACGAGTGGTTCAACGAATCCAAATGTAAATAATAATAGTAAAAGTAGTATTCCTTCATCAGGTAGTTCCGGTAATCTCAGTGGTATAAACTCATTGACAGTAGCTGGTAGCTCAATAATTGCAGGTCTTTCGGGTTCACAATCTTTAAATAATTTACAATCTGCTCAAATTTCACAAGCATTAAATACAAATAGTTGGATACGTACACCATCATTAAACCTAGCATCAGATCTCTCAGAAAGACAATTAGAAAAACAAGATAGAGAAAATTTAGATTTTCTTCTTAGTGATTTAACATATAGTGCAGCACAACGTTTGGAGGAGTTAGCAGTTAAAATTGGCTTTTTACCAGAGGACGATTACAATGATATGTTTTTCCAAAAGGTAGAGAAAATCATAAATAATGAAAATGCAAATAAACCAATCGAACCAATAGACACCTTATCACTATTTAGCTATCCAACATTACAAAATAATTTACAAACCTCAAAACAATTCCAACAACTTTATGTTGATCTATTAAACAAGGTTGAAAAACTCTACAATCAATCCAATCGTTTAAGAAGTATTTCAAGATTAAAATTTTCATTGGCAAATTTATATTTTAAGCAAAAAGACTATCAGTTGGCAGAGAGTTTATTTAGACCCATTACAAATCTTTACTCTAGAGAAGGCTGGACCTTTATTGACTATGCAATTAGAACTAGATTGTCATACTGCCAAAAACAACTAGGCTATTTAGTAGATTATGTTACCACATGTGTATCCTTATTAGCGCCAGGTTTACTATTATCAAAAGCTGAAAAGGACTATTATCTTAGTGAAATCTTACAACTATCAAATGATCCCCAACTAGTTATTGTACAGTCAATGATACCTTTATTTAAATGCAAAGTTACCTATACCCAAAAAGAGCCCGTTTATAGATATTTAGAAACTATTAAAATCAATGTAAAGATAAAAAGCAATTTAACCTCACCTGTCAAATTTAATAGTGGCTCAGTTAGCTTTTTAAGAACGAATAATAGTAGTGGAAGTAGCAGCAGTAGCAGTGGCGATAAACTAGTTTTCCAATTAAATGACTTTGTAATTGAACCAGGTTTAAACCATTATCAGTTTTCAACTTTAGCATCAATAAAGTCAACATTTGTAAAAGATTCAATTTGGTTAAAATTAGGTAGTCTCTCATTCGGTCATTCACTTCGTGAATCTGATAAATCCGAAATCAAAATTACCGACAGCGAATCACAGATTACATTAGAATCATTTGCAAAATCACCACTATTACTTTGTTCAATTCAATATATTGGTATTAAATTGCAAACCAACTCTGACACCATTGAAGCTGGTGTACTTTCTTTCACATCACCAACAGGGGCAACTATTATACCAACGCCATCTATAACCTTTATTCAAACAGATAATAATACAAATACCTCACAAGCAAAAACCATTAATTTGGTTAACGACAAACTACCACTTTCACAGATTGGCTATAATCAAACATTAGAGTTTTATCTTCCACTAATGGCAGTTAACCCAGATACCTTCACTCACCAAATTCGTATTGAACTTCAACACCAAAAGCAAACAAAAGAGAAATTTTCATCATCATTAGTTTCATCAACCCTATTCGTCAATCCATTCTCTGTTGAAGAATCTGTGATCTCTGTAAATAATAGATTATTTTTAAAAACAATTTTACAATGTACAACACCAAATATGATTCAATTAAATAGCTACTCATTAAAAGGTTGTGATTTAGAATACCAAGATCCCTCCACAACAACAAACTCTTTTTATTTCATTAAAGATCATAACCAATCATTATTTAATAACAATAGTTTAATTAATTTATACCCTGGCCAAGTTATTTCATTGGTTTTTGAAATTAAAAAATATAACGAAAATGGTAAGTAATACATTTTTATTTTCAATATTTTAAATTTAAAAAGTTTTATTAATGTTTTTTTTTTTTTTTTTTTTAGATATCAACAAAAAAATGACTCTAAATCTTAAATATACAAGCAAAATGCCAACACCCCAATCTGAATACGAAAAATCATTTGTTAAAGAGTGTAAACCGCTATGGAGAGACCAAAATGAATTTAATTGGCCCATTTTAATAGAATGCCCATCTGTAAGATTTTTTTTTTTATATCTATATTTATTATGAATTTATATTAATGTTTATTTTTATATTTAAAAAAAAGTATTTATATCAAGTCGATTTGAATATAACGAGCAAAGCATATCTTGGTACCTTAGTTCCATTCGAAATTTCAATTACAAATTTAAAACCAAAAAATTTGGAAAATCAATCAACAACATTAAATCAACTTCAGTATCAAATCGAAATTGATCCAACCATTTGGATGATGTCTGGTAAAAATAAGAACTCTTTCTTTATTGACGATGGTCAAAAGATTACCTTTACTTGTGATCTAATTCCAATTTCATCTGGCTCTTTGCCAATCCCTAAAGTCTCTTTACTTGGTGTAGATCCTTTAAATATATTTTCACCAAAGAATTTAAACGAAAATATATATGTTTTCCCAACTCCACAGTTTTATTCTTGCCACCAAGCTCAAGATCTTAATAATAACAGTAATAATAATAATGTTAAAACTACTAAATAAAATTATATAATAAATTATTAAAAAAAATTTTGAACTCACAAAAATTGAAAATATTAATTTTATAAGGAAATTTTTTTTATCAAATTTTTTTTTTTTTTTTTTTTGATTTCTTTTTTAAAATTGAAAAGTAAAATATAAAATAAAGCTAAAAAAAATAGTTGTTTGGTTTCATTTTTTATATTTTTTTTATTTTTTTTTTTTTTTTTTTATATTAAATATTATAACAAGAAATTAAACAGTGGTCAATTAATTTAGTTTCCACCTTTATCTTCACACCATTCATTTTCTTTTCTGATTTGTTCTTCTTCTTCTGGAGTAAAGTCATTTTTAATGTTGAAGATCTTTCTAATTTCTTCTGGAGTTTTACCTCTGATCATATTGGCAACAGTTTTACAGGTGACATCTAATAATGGTTTGATATCTAAATAGTTAGCAGCTAAGATTAATTCAAAAAGGGTTGGTTGGTCAACTTTGCAAAAATCTCTGTCATATGGTGGGATATCATCTAATCTTTTTTCATCTTTCTTGTCATCAGCTTGTGGTGATGGGTGTTGGTGGTGATGTTTGCAATAGTCAAGAACTTTTTCTAAGATGGTTGAGGTAACATTTGGTAATGGGATTGGGGTGTCTGATTCACCAATATCTAAATAAAAAAAAAATATTGTTATATTAACATAAATTGTCTTTTTTTTTTTGTGCGTGTAATTTTTTTTTTTTTTTTTTTTTTGTGTGTTTTTTTTTTTTTTGTTATAAATAATTGTTTATTGTTATAAATCATATTTACCTTCAATCATATTTTTAATGGTGACTGACATACAGGCAATATCCTTTTCAATTTCAAAGACTTTTTCGTCTGAGGATTCAAGCTTTACAATAGATGACATAATATTTTATGTTTATATATATATATATATTTTTTAAATAATTAGAACAAAAAAAAAAAAATTATATGTAAGTGTGTTATTAAAAAAATAATAATAACTTAAAAAAAAAAACTTAAAAAAATTTATAAAAAATTTTAAAAAAAAATTAAAAAAAAAATTAAAAAAAAAATTAAAAAAAAATTAAAAAATAAAAAAAAAATTTAGAAAAAAATTGGCAAACTCCCACCAAATTTATTTTTTTAATAATTTTTTTTTTTCAAGATATTATTTTTTTTTAAGAAAACAATATAAAAAAAGAAACCAAAATAGTAAAGCAGTTACTCATTATTTTCAAAGAACTTCATTCACTTAAAAAATTATCAATAAAATTATCAAAATCATTGTTAAATCATGTTCCATCAAGCAGAACAATGTATAAATTCAAGTATCAAGTAATTTAAAAAGATAGTTATAATAGAATTAATTTATTTCATTTTGTTATTTGGTTCATTTATTTGTTTTTTTTAAAGTTTTGTTAATTATTTATTTTTCTTTATTTTTTCCAATTCCAAGATACATTCAAAATTTTTTGAAAAAAACTTGTTTTTTCAAAAAAAATTTTTAATTTTTTAATTTTTTTGTAATTATTTCTTTGACATCAAAGAGGTTCTTTGGTGTTTTTGTTTTTGTTTTTTGTTTTTTGTTATTTGTTATTTTTATCCTTTTTTTATTTCTTTTTTACAAATGGTATTCTACAAATTATTTTGTTTGTTATAATTTTCTAATTTTATCATAACACTCTCAATTTTACAATCTTAAACGCAAAATATTAAATCACACCTCCAGATTGGATAGAAATATAAAAATAAAACAATCTGGGTGTGTGATTTAATATTTAATATTTTTAAAAATTTATACTTAATAAAAATAATAAAAAAATTCATTATTATGAATTTAATAACTTAATTAAAAAAAACAGTGTGGTAGTATTGGTAATAATAAAAAATAATAAAAATAATATGAAGAAATAAAAAATTATAATTATATATATATATTATGGTATGTATAACTACAATAATTATAAAAAATTATAGTTATACAAACTTTTGCGTAATTTAATATGTTGTGATGTCATCAAAGTAATTATTTTAATTTTCTAAAAATTATTTTTTCGAAAATTTAAGTTTTTAAACAATTAGTTTTTTAAAAATATGGTTTTTTCTAAATTCATTAACCAAAACTACTTTTAACTATTGTTTTACGAGAAATTTATTCGATCAGACCACTTCAAAGTTGCCTTCTATTTAAATCAATTAAAAATAATGAATTTGTACCACCAGGAGATATGGATAAATGGGTATTTATCCAAAAGCCATTGTAAGTAGCTTTTTTGGTCAAAATAAAAAACTAGTTTATTCCTTTCTTTTATAGTCTTATATAAATAAATAAAAAAAATTATATTTTTCTTTATTTAGATTTTATTTGATTTTTTATGATTTTTTTTATGATTTTTAATATGATTTTTTTAATAGATATTTTTTGTGCCCAATAATAAATATTTTGATGTGGCTTTTTTAAAGAAATAATTTGTTGGGGTTCTTATTATAAGATTTTTTATCTTGTTTTATTGAGTGGATAAAATTTTATTAATATTTATTAAATCAGTTTTATAAAAAATTAAAGATAATAAATTTTTTTTAAATTTAATAATGAAAATTGTATTGGTTATGTTGTTTTTTGCTTTAATATTTTTATTAAATAGCTTGGCTGATTGTAAACTTGTACCTGTTCCAGCGTATGCTTTGTGGAATGAACCTGCTGTTATTGGAATGGTTCAGTTACATTTCAGAAGCTAAAGCTCTATATACATTACTTGGCTACCAACACAAGCAATCTAACCAGTTCTCGACATACAACTACTACGGAACTAATATAGCAACCTTCTTTGTAACTAATGCATTTCCCGATAGCCTATATTTATATGAATATAATTTCAATAGCAACCAATTAAAGTTAATACAAGCTTTTGATAATAACAAATACCAGGTTTATTCAATGTCATCTTCCCAATCCTCTTCAGCAAACGATTTACTATTTTCATTCACCCTTAATAACCATGACAATTATCTATTTGGTAGATAATAACAATTCTGGTGTAATATCAACATTAGATGTTATATCTGGTACATTTGCATCTGCAGCTTTTGATACAACCCAAAAGGTATACTCTGTGATGTCCATTTTGCATGGTGACTATTTATTTTCCAACTACTCTCTAAACGGGGGATTAATAAATACTCAAACCCTGGTGGTTTCTAATGGCCCTCAGGATCCAAGTAGTAAACCATTCCAATTAACTTATTTAGTATGTCTTGAACAGTTTATTTTTATGTTGGATTATAAAAAAGCACCATCTCTACTATTAATATCCAACGGAGAAATTGAAGAGTATAACAATGTTGGCCAAGTACTGTACCCAAAACAATCAGGCTTTTGCATTGGCAGGAGATGTTCCATCCACTTCTAAAAAAGATCCCAAATTTTACCAATTTGTAACTGTACAACCATCACCACTAGGAATAACACAAGTATTAAACCTGTATGATAACACAGGTTATATCAACACATGGTCCACCAATGTTCTACCGGTAAATATGTGGTGTATTTCATCATAGATTTAAAAAAATAAAAAAATTAATAAATAAAAAATCTATTTTTATAAATTTAAATAAATATATTATTCTATTTAAATTCTTTGTTATACGAGACAGCAGTGGTTGTAATGGTGGTTGTAATGGTGGTTGTAGTATAGAAAATATATTATCCCAAATTAGTGGTCGGAGAATGAATAAAAAATACACTATAACTTTACTCTAAATGATTTTAATTTTTTAGTGATTTTTTTTTATTAATAAAAATCGACAGTAAATAATGCAGTTGTAAATATAGTTTATTTATCTATACTATTATTTTTAAAATAATAAATTTAATTCGTCAATTTATATTTATTTATTTAATTTTCATTTTTTTTATTTATAATTTTATATTCCTTTAATATCTTTAAATATCAACTTTATATTTTTTATACATAAATGATAATTATAATATATCTATTTATACTACTTCTGATTAAACAATCTTTTTTTCATGTAGTTATAGTTATAATATATGTATAACCATTATAATAAAATTCTTAAAATAATAATTTTATCTATATAAAACTAACATTGATATATTTATATAATTTATTTTTTTACCTTTATTTATTTATAAAAAAAAATAGTATATTTGTGTGAGTTAGTAGTGGGGATATTTTTTATTTTTATATTTAACCCCACACCTACACACACAATATATTTATATAAAAAAATAAAATTCAGTCATAAAAATAGAAACTGGAATACTTTATATGGTTATAAATTTTAAAATTATTTTTGTTAGTGTATTGGGTATGTTTGCTATATGAAAAAGAGAATGTGTTAAAGCAAATAACTAAACAACACACTCTCTCACACAAGCTCACACTCTCTCACACACTCACACATTCACTCAATTTTAAAAAAAAAAATTTCTAAATTTATTTTTTTCAAATTTATTTATTTGTATATATACATTTATATATTTATATATATATATATTCAATATTTTTATTTTTATTTTTATTTGTTTTAAATTATTTTTTTTTTAATTTTTTTTTTTTTTTTTTTTTTTTTTTTGAAACCAATCATTATATTTTTATTTTAATTTTAATAAAATATAAAAATAAATTTTATTTTTTATAAATATATAAAAAAAGTTAATTAATGTTCATTGTATCTAAAAATAGAAATTTAGAAATTTATAGGCTAAAATAAAAAAAAAAAAACGAAAGGTAAGATTACAAAAACTATAAAAAACATATTATAATCAACACCATAGTTTCTTTATATCTTTTTTTTTTTTTTCAAAAAGGCACCAGCTTTATTATATTCCACACCATAATTTCCCAAATAAACACAAAGTTGTTTGTGTGGAGCTTTTCTCGAATGACAATCAATAATTAAAATAAATATTAAAAAAAAAAAGAAAGATATTTTAAAAATCCAATAAAAGTCGATTTCGATAAAAATTATAATACGGCTTTAAAATATAGAAACAGTTTATTTTTTTTTTACAATAAAAAAATTAAAAAAAATAATTAAAATTAAAAAAAATAAAAATTTTTTAATAATTTTCACTTTTTTCTTTTTTTTTGTTTTTAAATAAAAATATAAATTTATAATAGTACAATATAAAACTAATAAATAGTATCAAAATAAAGATAATAGAAAATAGAAATAGAAAAAAAAGAAAATTGAAATAGAAATAAAAAAAATAAAAAAAGAAAAAAAGTATTTTTTGAAACCAAACAACTTTTTTCACACTCACGTACAATATATAACACACAAACACTACATAAACTTGTTATATTTTACACATGATACTACTATTCACACATATTCATAATATCACTCTTAACACCAATATATAAAACCACTTTATTTTTTATTTTTTTTAATTAAATTTAATTTAATTAAATTTAATAATAAAAAAAGAACATACAAATAAAATTTAAATAAATCAAAAAAAAAAAAAAAAAAAATTGTATAAATTACTAATTAACTACATTTGTTAATTTTTTATAACTATAACAGTTTAGTCTAAATAATATAATAAACATCAAACAAATCTAGTTTTATAGATCAAATATGTCGCCAAGACCAGAAAGTATTAAAAAAGTCATGGATGTGCTTGGGGATTTTAATCCATCCGAAGATAAAATTAAAAAAACACTAGGTATTGATGAAGATGAGTTAAGACAAATTAATGAAGAGAAACAAACCATTTCATCACCAAAAGATAGAATCCCAATAAATAGAAAATTAACAAAAAAAGCACAGGATACATTAGGCATTAATTTATCAAGAGAAAAGGTAAATTATACTAAATACTATGATTACTATTATTATATTTCCAAAATGAAAACTAACCATTTTTATTTTATTATATTTTAGTTAATGGATGTATTTGGTGTTGACGAAGATACTATAAATTGGGCAGAATCAGAAGAAAGCGAACATAAAGAAAATTTAATTAAAAAGAGCAGAGAAAATATTGTATCTTCAAATAAAAGAACATTGCAAAAAGCATTATCGAAAATGGGTATTGATCCATCAAATCATAAAATTGCAAGAACCCTTGGTGTATCAGAGGAACTTTTAAATCATGGTGTTTTAAAACCACAACCATCATCATGGTCACCAGCTTATGCTCTTTTCTTTATCACTCTTTTTATACTAGCTGTCACTTTTTATTTAATTATACAACAAAAACAAAACTTTTTAGATTTAAAAACCTTATTGGACCAACAAAATCAATTTATAAATAATAATCATCATCGTCATAATAGTAATTTTAATAATCACCACTAAAAAAAAAAACCATTATTTCATAAAAATGGAATATAATTTAGTAGTGATCATAAAATAATAATAATAATAATAATAATAATCATTTTGTTTTTTTTTTCCAATTATCAACACATAAATATTCTTTCTAGAATTTATTATTAAACCCCACCCTGTATATAAAAACTCCAAACCAAACACCACAGAATTTTTAGAAACATAACTAATAAAGTTAATTTTTAATTTAGTTATAAAATATTTTTAATTTTAATTAATTTAAATTTTTATTTTTTTTAACAACTAAATCTATTTTTTTAAATTTTTTTTTTTTTTTTAGTTTTTAATTATTTTTTTTCGAATTGATTGTTATTATAAAATTTTGTTGTTGTGAACATCCTCCCACTCCTAAGCTTAACGACTATAATCGTTAGGAAAATTTAAATTTAAATTTTAAAAAAAATATTTTAATTTTATTTTTTTTTTTTTTTCGAAAAAATTATTTAAATTACAAAATTTTTTTTTTTTTTGCATTCTCTTATTTTATTTTTATTTAAAGATATATTCTATTGCCACAAACTAAATATTTAAAAAGTAAGATACACTATATAAATATATAAATAAAATACAGTAATTTAAATACTAAAAATTTTATTTTATATTTTTTACAAAGCCTTTATTTTTTTTTTTTTTTTATTCCTGTATAAATATATAATATAAAATGTCATCAAGAGATAAACAAGATTTTAGATTAAAAGAATTCAAAAAATCAATTGATAGTGAATCAGCTAGAAGAAAAAGAGAAGAAAATACAAATGGTATTAGAAAATCAGCTAGAGAAGAATCAATTTCAAAGAGACGTGGTATTGTTCAAACCCAACCAAACGTTGCATATGAAATTGTTATTCCAAGTGATATTCAAGAACAATTCCAAACATATGAAAAAGAAACACTAGAAAATAAAGTAAGTAATTTTAAATTGTTTTCAAATTATTTTTAAATCTAAAACATAAATATTTTTAGCGGTACAAAATAATAATTTGGTTCGAATTTTAAAAATTTTAAATTTTTCCAATTTTTCTAATTTTAAAATTTTTTTTTTTTTCTCTGGTGACAGTTAAAAAATTTAAATGGTTTAGTTCAAGCATTAAATTCAAATGAACAAGCTTTAGTATTTTCAGCCTTATTACAATTTAGAAAGTTATTATCAATTCACAATAATCCACCAATTGATGAAGTTATCGAGTGTGGTGTCATTCCAAAATTCAATCAATTACTTGAATGTGGTCATCCAAAAGTTGCATTTGAGGCTGCTTGGGCTTTAACCAACATTGCTTCTGGTAATAATAAACAAACATTGGCTGTTATTAATGGTGGTTCTGTTCCAATTTTCGTCTCATTGCTTTCTTCAAACACCACTGATGAAGTTAAAGAACAATGTGCTTGGGCTATCGGTAATATTGCTGGTGACACCGTTGCCGCTAGAGATTATCTCCTTAGTTTAGGTGCTATGCAACCATTAATTAAATTATTTGATTCACCAAAAATTACATTAGTTCAAAATGTTACATGGACTGTTTCCAATTTATGTCGTGGTAAACCACACCCAGATTTTTCAATTGTTTCACAATGCCTCCCATCCATCAAGAAGCTTTTAGATTGTGAAGATTTGCCATCCGAAGTATATGGTGATTTATGTTGGGCCTTATCCTACTTGACAGATGGTGCTAACGAAAAAATTCAAACTGTTATCGACAGTGGTGTCCTCACAAGACTTGTTGAACTCTTAGAACATGCTGAAGGTATTGTTTATACTCCAGCTCTTCGTGCTGTTGGTAATATCGTCACTGGTGATGAACATCAAACTCAAGCAATCGTCGATTTAGGCGCCATTGGTAGCATTACTCGTCTTTTAGGTATTCCAAAGAAATCAATTAGAAAAGAAAGTTGTTGGGCTCTTTCAAATATTACTGCTGGTAACTCTGCACAAATTGAAGCCGTCATCTCTAATCCAAGCACTGTCAGCTCACTCATTTCACTTTTATCACACAGCGAATTCGAAATTAAAAAGGAAGCTTGTTGGGCTCTTTCCAATGCCACCAATGGTACATCTCAAGTCATTAAAACTTTATGCCGTAGTAATCTCATTAAACACTTTATCGATCTATTAAATACATCTGAATTATCAATCCTCAAAATCGTCCTTGAAGGTCTTATCAATATTGTCAAAGATGGTGAACAAATCAAAGATAAAAGTGGTATCAACCCATACATTGAAGTCATCAGTGAATACGATGAAACCGTTATTTACGAATTACAACACCACAGTTCAAAAGATGTTTACAAGAAAGCCATGGAATTATCTCAATACTTGGATAGCCGTGAATACTCTGACGGTGAAAATTATGAACCAAATAATTTTGAATTTAAACCAGCCAATGTCAATCCAAGCCAAATCAATTTTTAAATCAAATCAAATTAAAAAAAAAAAAAACAACACACACCAAATAATAATAATATAAAAATATATATTTAAAAGGTATATATTTATTTTTTGTATAGAATAGTAACATTATAATTAATTATAAAAATAAAATTGTTAAGTTGATTTTATTAATAATTTTAATTTAAATAAATATTAAAAAAAAAAAAAAAAAATCCCTTGTCTCTATTATTTTTATAAAGTTTATTTAAAATATTAATCAATTTAAATATTTGCATTTATTTCAATAAGTTATATAAAGTCAAACTGATATAGTTGTTTTTTTATTTTTTATTTTTTATTTTTTTATTTTTCCTTTTTTTTCGTTTTTTAATTTTTAATTTTTTTTTTTTTTTAATTTTTAATTTTTTATTTTTCTTATGTTTCGTTTATTTAAATTTATTGAATGTAAAATATAGTAATAAATATGTTTAGATTAATTAATAGAAATAGAAGAATAATAAATAATGTTTTAGAATTAAATAAAATAAGTTTTATTAAAAATAATAATAATAATAGATTCTTTTCAACATTAACCACCAATAATATTCAATCACAAGAACAATTACAACCACAAGAACCATTACAATCAGAGGAAAAAGAATTAGAAAACAAAAATGAAGATCTTGAAGATATCGATTTAAATAAAAGACCATTAAAAGAGCAGGAGGAGGCTTATCAAGCTTTTTTAAATGAGGATCACCCACTTTTAGATGTTAGAGATGTAGTTAAATTAAAAGCATTCAAAAAATTACCATTTAATTTTCAAATGAAATTCCTTACAGAACATCGTTTCCCAGAATCATCAATAAGTCAAGTTGAAAATACAAAAGTTAGATTGAAGAAACAACATACTAAAGAAATACAAAGAGAGGTATCATATATACAATCAAACAAGTCAAAAAGAAAGGATATAACACCACAGGCTGAACTTTTAGAATTATTAACTTTACAGATCCAAACAAACAATTACCAAAATGGTTTAAAGAGTTTTTTCACTGCAAGATTTCGTTTAAATGATGATATTGTAAGATTAGCATTCAGAATATTCGGAGAAATCTACAATTCACAAGATTTAAAGCAATTTCCAACCTACGAATTTGAAAATTTACTTAAAAAAGTAGCATTCTCAAAATTCTCTATTAGCGAAGCAACTGAATTCCTTATCAAATTAGGATTTTTCGAATCATTACATTTCTATAATACAATATTTTCACTCAATGAATCGTACTTGCTTGTATATGTTTATGACATTGGTAATTATTTGAAATCAACACCATCACTCAAAAACTACAGTGTCCACTTTGAATCATTCATCCCTCAAGGTAGTGGTTCCCATGCTAAACTTTTAAATGCATTAATTATAAGTCATCGTCGTCAAGAGGCATTGGAGGTATTTGAATCAAGTAAATCAAAAGCCACTGGAGAATTTATTTATTATTTTGTATTGGGTCTTATCAAGATGGGTTACATTGAAAAATCAAAATTAATCATGTCGGAGCACTATGACTCATTACACAATGATCCATATTATATTTTATCCAGTATCAATGTAGCATTAGCTTTAAATCAACCAGACCTCGCCTCTGAAATAATATTAAACTGTGGTCCAATGGAAACTATGATACCAACCGAAACCTTGCAAATGGTCTTTTTAGAGTTAGGTAAAATGGGAAAAAGAAATAGTTTACGTAAATTAGAAGAATTTGCCGACAAATATTTAGACGAGCAAGAAAAAAGAAAGTTACTTTTCAATTCATATTATAAATATCCAGAGGTTCAATTCCATTATTTAAAAAAAATAGAAAAAACAAAATACCACTTGGCCATCAATAATGTAGTTTCAAAATCGTTAAAACAACCCCTTGCACAAAAGGATCAAGATAATGTTTCAGTTCCAGTAGTTTATCAAGTTGTCAATATTAATTATGAGGACGAAAATCTATTTGGTTTAATTAATAATTTAAAAGGTAAAGAAAAATATCAAGATTTAAATAACCCAACAGTTTACGATTCAAGTGGTGATGTTCAAAGAAAACTCGACATGTTTAAGAAAAAAGAAAAATAAACTTATTTTACAAACAAACCACCAAATTATTAATAAAATCAAAAAAATAACATATATAAATATAGATATATTATTATAATTTTTTTTTTATTTTTAAAATTTTTTAAAAGTGGGTGAAAAAAAAAAAATATTTCTTTTTATTTATTTTTAGTTTTTAGTATTATTAATATCACCCCCCACTTATACAATGTTTATTTAAATTTATAAAATGATTATATTAAAAGAAATTAAATATTCAAAAATAGTTTTTTATTTGTTTAATTAAATTAAAATTTTAATTTTATTTTTTTTATTTTTAATTTTTTTTTTATTTTTTTTTTTTTTTTAATTTTTTTTTTTAAATTTTATTAAATTTTAAACGCAACGAACTCATTTATTTTTTTATTTTTTTTTTTAGCTACATTCATTTTCTTTTTTTATTCTGAATCCATAATTTATTTATTGTAATGCTATTGTAAAGACAGTTTATATTTTATATTTATAGTTATCTTTATATATATTTTTAATAATAATTGTATATGTATATATATTAATTTATATATATTTTTAAAAATATATATATTTAGTATATATACATATTTCTATATACAACTCTATTTAATTACGATTTCAAAAAATGGAGTCAAGTAAAAATAACAAAAATGACGAAAATAACAATGTTCCAATGGAAATAGAAAATAATAACAACAATAACAATAATAGCGTTAATAATAATTTTAATAATAATAATAATAATAATAACAATGATATGTTAAATGATATTAAAAATAATTTATTAAACGAAATGAAATTAAATTTATCAAAAGAGTTAAATTTATTAAATATCAATTATGACAATAGTAATAATAGTGCTGATAGCCCATATTCAATAATTACAAATCAATTGTTATTATTTCAACAAAAACAAATCGAATTATTAAATCAAAAATATTCAAATTTAATAGAAAATAAATTTAAACAGCTGGAGGAAAAAGTAATGGACACATTGGATGATAAAATGGTTAATGGTAATTTATATAATAATATCAATGGCACAGCGTTTTCAGTTTTAGCATCATCCCTATCAAAATTAAAGAGAAAACTTGTATTAAATAACGAAATTGACAGAGAGGAATTGACAAAGAGATTGGGCGTTATGATCGATAGAGAGTTTCCTCAAGAATTAAAAAATAAAGATCAAGAATTATTGGAAATTGATACCAGGATACTAAAAGTAAAGGAAATGTTAGGATCTATGGCAAGACACCGTTCAACTAGACCTCAGTTTTCAATTGAAAAACAGAAGCAGTTTTTACAACAAGAACCAGAAGCAGTTTTTACGACAAGAACCAAAATCAGCTCTGGCCCTTCAGGTAAAAAAAAGTTATATATGCGTATACCATCAACCGGTAATTTTATTCAATTCGTTTGTCCAAATTGTAAAAAAGATGAGTTTTCAAACATGACTGGTTTCTTAAATCACTGTAGAATAAAACATAATAGAAAATATTCTAATCATGACGAAGCCGCAGAAGCTATAGGTATACCTGTTTCAGAAGATAAAATACCTAAAGATGATCCTTCACGTCAAGAGGCACCATTATTTAAATTTAAAACTTCAAAAGATAGTTCTAACACAATTGGCAAGGAAAAGAAAAATATAAACGATGATTTAATGGAATTAATTTCAAAGAGTAATAATAGTAGTGAGAATATAATAAATAATACCGCAGCTGCATCAACAGAGTCTTCAACTAAACTATCAGCAGGACCAACAGCAACAACATCAGCAATTGTTTCTAACGAAACATCTAAGGCTATTGAAATGGAAGAAGAATCATCAACCTCATCAAGTAGATTTTATATTAAGAAAAGAGTGATAGTTGGTAATACATGCACTCAAATTCATCCAAATCAAAGAGGCCAAGATAAATCAACTCATAAATGGATGGTGTATGTTAGAGGACCTCAAAATGTAACTATAGCAAAAATATTATACATTTAATAATAAAATATTAACTTTTTTTTTTTTATAAAAATTATAGGAGCCAGATATTTCATATTTTGTTAAAAGAGTTTGGTTTTATTTACATGATAGTTTTGCACCAAATGATAGAGTTGAAATTAGTGAAAAACCATTTCAATTGGTTCGTAGAGGGTGGGGAGAATTTCCAGTTCGTGTTAAATTGTTTTTCCATGATATCAGAAATAAACCAATCGATATTATTCATAATTTAAAATTAATTCAAACGCCAATTGAATATGGTAAAACAAACCTATGTGGCGAAACAGCTGTAGATATAGATCTAGATAGATTATTTTTTGAAAAAAGAGAAAGACAGCTTCAAAAACAGCAACAATTACAACAAAACCAACAGCAACCGCAGCAACATCAACAACCGCAACAACAACAGGATACACCTAATAATATTAGTGGTATAGTAATTTCACCATCAATTGTAAATTCTTCATCATCGACAAATACTAATACCACTAGCGTGACAACCCCACCACAGACCTCCACAACCCCACCACAAACCAATGCCACTACATCACCAGTTCTTTCATCACCAGTTGTAAAGAAAAAACCCACAAATTTATTTTCATCATCCTCTTCAATGGGTGGCGGTAAATTATTTGCAAATATTTCAAAAGAATTAAGAATTAAAAAAGAAATGGAAAAGAAACATTTAAAAGAAATAAGGAAAGAGCGTGAAAAAAGTACAATTGTAGATATAACAGCTGAAAATGAAATAAATAATACAGCCAAAAAAATCAATAATAATAATAATAGTAATAACAATAATTATAATAAAAATAAAAATATTTTCAAATTCGATTTTGACGATGAAGACTTATTGCAACATCCAGACCTTGTAAATAAAATAAAAGATAACAAAACTACAACTACTTCCACAACCACATCATCACAACCATCAACTTCAAATCATACATCACCTAAAAAAAAAGAAACTAATGGTCTAGATAGCAGTACTAGATTATTTATTTTAAACTAGCAGAAGAGCATCCAATTATTTCCAATAACAGCACCAAAAAACAACCATACAGAACAAGTAAATCAAGAGATGACTGGGTTAGATGGACTTTCGGAAAGCAAAAATCAATAGAATATCGTCGTGCTAAACTTATTAACCGTTTATTTAAAAAGTCAATGAATGAGGAGCTTACAGTTTCTTATACTATTAAATGGTGCAGAGATAATGGTTTCACTCCTCTAACTCATTCACAAGAAAAGTTCTATAATATGAAAGATCCATTTTCAAAATCAAAATATGAAGTAATTGAAACAAAAGAAAAAAGAAAAGATAAAAAAGAAAAAAGTAAAGATATAGAAAAAACTAATGAAGAAAAAGAAAAAGAAAAGGTAGAAAGGTTAGAAAAAGAAGAAAGAGAAAAAGAAAGAGAAAGAGAGAAAGAAAAAGAAAGAGAGAAGGAAAAAGAAAAAGAAAGAGAAAGAGAAAGAGAGAAAGAAAAAGAAAAGGAAAGAGAAAAGGAAAGAGAAAGAGAAAAGGAAAGGGAAAAGGAAAGAGAAAGAGAAAAAGAAAAAGAAAAGGAGGTGAACAATATTTTAAGTTCCACTACTATCGAAACAGCTACTACTATTTCAGAAAATTCAATAGTTTACCAAGAAACAATTGATACTCCAATTATCCAAAATAATAATAATAATAATAATAGTATTTTATCATCAACAGAAGCAGCTATTAAGGAAAATAAGAGTTTATTTGATCAACAATACGAATCAGATATTTTAAATGATGAAATCGATAAAGTTTTAAATGGTATTGATGAAGGCAGCAATAAACTAAACCACGATGTCAAAATGGGATCTTCAGATATGTTTGATATTGAAAATCACTTTTTATCAAATCAAAATTTTTCAGATAATAATTCATCACTTCATCATCATCATGATATTATAATGCAACCAATGGAAAGTATTAGATCAGGTTTATCAAGTGTTATTGAGGAGCATCATTTATTTTCTACCTCACAAACTTTGATTGATGGTTTTAAACCCGATATCGACCATAATAGTATATTGGGTACCGCAGGTGTTGATCCAGCTATGATGATTGGTTCAGGAACCGCAACCACAGCAGAAACAATGACAACAGCATCTTCTATCAGCACAATTAGTTCACCATCATCCACACTTCCAACATTAGAGACTATTGTTACAGAAACATGTGATAATACTATAATCAATACAGAATATACAGATCCATCTACAATAACAACAAATATTCCTTCCACAGAATCAAATACCGAGTTAACAGTTTCATCTTCAGATATTACATCACCAACAACAGCAATAATGGATTCAAATATGGGTAATATACCAATGGAAATTTCAGAGCATCAACCAATACAAACAGAACAAGAGCATCATCAGGTTTTGGAAAAAACGGAATCATCAGAGTTAATTGTAGAGTCTACTGTAGCAATTCCAAATGAAATCATTGATAAATCAGATTTACCAACAACTGTTGCACCACCTATTTTGTCACCTTTAACACCTTCAATTCAATTACCAATACCAATTCATGTACAAATCCCAGTTGACCTTCCTACTACTACAACTACTACAACCACCA